ATTCTGAGTAGCCCTCTGCTCCGGCCTCAGCTCTCCCCAGAGTCTGGCCCCTCACTGGTCCCAGGAAGTCACCTGATAAAAAGAGGGTGTAGGGCCATGCCCCGCTCCAGATGGAAGGGCCCTTCGGTCACACCTTGAGGCAGTGGCAGGCCCAGGCAAGCCCTGGAAGGCACTCTCTGGGGACTGATGCTGAAGACCAGGGGTGGAAGTGGGCACAGGTGTAGGGAGGGGTGGGCCAGCTGGCAGAATGAGGTCAGAGGCCTTTGTGGGGTCCCCAAGAGGCTACCCTCTGAGATTTGGGGCCAATGGGCACAGAGACAAGTCTGTGGCTTGGCTGGGAGCAAGAGGCCACCCCCACCTTACCTGGCTGTGAACACCGAGCCAGCTGGGCTAGCAGAGCCCTGGGTCCCTGCTGGCCTGGCAGGTACTCCTTCAAGAATCTGTAGTCACTGCAAGGAGTCCACACTTTGAGTGCACTGGCCATTCAGGGGGGGTTCAGATTGCCAGGGGAAACTGAGGCTCAGGTTGGCCAGGGTTCACTCAATTTCTCAGACACCAAGAATAGCCAGGGCCTGGTGGAATAGCCAGTCCTGACTCGGGCTGCTCCGTCTCAGGTGAGGAACAGCATCTTAGCCAGCAGGTGGCAGAGCTGCTTGCGTGTTGAGGACGAGGGGAAAGGTGTGCTAGGGTCGCAGGGTCCCAGGCGAGACCTGGGAGGAGACCCAGAGAGAGGGAAGAGGTGGCTCCAGAGGCCCCCTACCTCTGACCCCCAGCCTGGCCACCCGGAGCCCTTGACTAACAAGGAGCCCTTGACTGCCACCATCCTGCCTCACCCTGGGTGGGTGTTAGCTTGGTCATTGCCCTGGCACTACTGAAACAAAAAGCCCAGGGCAAATGCTGGTGGCCACCTCCCTGGACATCCAGAACAGGATGGTGGCAGGCGGGAAGTCCGAGGACCTGTGGTCTAGCCTGGGAGAGCTGATGTGTCRGGATGAGTCCCGCTGCCCCGCCCCCAGGCCCTAGGGCAGTAGGTGTAGACACTAATTAGCAGGCCCAGGACCTGGGGACTAGGGACTCGGGGACTCACTCCCTGGCTGCTGGAAGTGGCCTTGGAGCCTTAGGGCAACTTGGTGCAGAAGGAGGGAGGTGAGGCAGGATCTGAGCCTCCACTGGAGGGAAACAAGGGGAGGGGGTAGGTCGCAGACCAGCCTGCAACAGGGCAGCAGGCCAGGAGCCAGGGGCAGCGGGCAAAGGGCAGGCAGCTCTGCCAGGGCCAAGACAGAAGGGACGAGAGTAAGGCACGGACAGGCCCAGCAGCTTCTCAGCCTCCCTGCAACCTCCCCAGGCACCAGGCTTGCCAGGTCAGCCAGGTCTCGTGATCACAGTAAACAGTGGTCAGAGGTCTGTCCTGCCATGGGCTTGGTCAGTGTCCAGCCCCCTGACGGGGAAATCAGGCCTGGCCTGCCCAGCACCTCTCCTGAGTGGTGTGGGCTGACACTGCCTCAGGGCAGAGCCTCACCCAGCCAGAGAGCGGGTGAGAGAGCAGGCAAGACGGTCAGCCTCTCACCAGGCTCCTGCTCAGATACCTACCTGGGGACAGGCCACACCCTGCATGTCGTCTTCTGCTGGGGGTCTGGACCCAGGGAGAGCCTTGTGGAGCCCTCCCCTGATCCCAGAGCCAGGCCAAGGAGGGTTGTCTCGGGCCCTGCCTACAGGGACGCGCAGGCCAAAGCCCCCAGTCCCAGGCTCCTCTGCTGCCTCCCTTCATTACAGCCAGATGTCACCAGCCCAAGAGGCAGGGGGGTGAGCCCCCAACAAGACCCACCCTCCCCCGCAGCCTCAGTCCTTAGGGCAGTGAAGAGGGTCACCCCACCTGTGTATGGGACAGAGTGGAGCCCCAGGGACATGAAGGGTCTGGCCATGGCCCTTCCCCTCCAGGCCCCAGGCAAACACCTGCTACTGGACACGGGGTGAAGTCCTGGCCAGGAGGGGCACAGGGTTGTGGGCTCTAGGCTGTCACCACYCCTGCCCTCTGGGGACTAAGACGGTCCTCTCCCATAGGACAGCAAGCCTGCCATTGTGCAAGACTATGGATGCCCACCACCGTCTAGCCCCGGTCAGCCCTGGTGGAGATGGGCAGGGGTGAGGGAAAGGCCTAGGCCTTGGACTCAGAGGCCGGAGTAGGGGACAGGTCTGCACTCTGGGGACCCCTCCCCATTTATCCCCTCTTATAGGCTTATGACCTTTTCAAGGAAGCAACTCCCTTGAGCCTCGGTTTTCTCATCTGTGAAGTGGGGCTAACAGATTCATGCTCTCCAAAGGGTCCCTGTGTGGTGCTGCCCACTGCTCAAAGGTGCCCAGGCACAGCCTGAGGGCTCCATCCCCTGGTCTGGCCACGTCTCAGTATGAAGCAGTCACCAGTGTGTGCTGGCTGCCCGGAGGTTGCACGGGGCAAGGAGGGCCCCAGCCAGGCCCCGCAGACTCCCTGGGGCCATGAGACTAGCATCCTTCTAGGGGATTTGGGGCCGGGCTGGACACCCCGAATCTTCCCACTCTGGTTATCTTTCAGTTTGCACAAGATGGGGCCAGCTCAGGGGGAGGAGGGGCTGCAGTCCAGGCTGTGGAGAGCTTGGAATCCCCCAGATGCCCAGCAGGGGGCAGCAGCAGCCCAGGGAGAGGCAGGGCAGAGGGCCTTCCCTGATGGAAGGTGGGTCGGAGCCGGGTACCTAAGGGTGCTCTGTATCCCGCTGTGTCCTCCTGGGGCAGAGCCGCCACGCACACCCAGGACCCCAGGTGTGGCCTGCTGGATGGTCAGGAATCGGTTGGGCAAGAGTTGGGTGCCTGGGCCCCGCTTGGACTTGGGGACCACAGAGGTGTGTCGATGGGAACTGCCTGGGCAGGTGAGGCAGAGGTGTGGGTGCTGCCCGAGGAGCGGCAGGCAGGCTGGTACTCACCCCGTTCCCACCTTGACCGAGCCTTGGACGACACCCACTTCACAGAGAGGCCAAGGGAGCTGCCTCCTCGGTGGCCCAGGCCAAGGGCAGGACAAGGGCTGAGGGCTCAGGCTGTGTCTGGAAGTGCTTCTGTCAGGAGGCCAGAGAGGAAGGCTGGGTAGAGGACGCAGAAGGCCCAGGCCTGGGTGGAAGGGAGGCTGTCACATGACCAAAGCCGCTTCCCAGAGTGCTCGAGAGGTTCTGGAGTGGACGGGCTCTGTGGCCAGGCAGAGCACATCAGGTGGGGCAGCCGCGAGGATGGTCTGGAAGGGACACTGCACCTGGCCTCCGCCATCAGAGAGGGGGCAGCCATGACTGAGGGGCTTCCCAAGGACCCTCAGGGCCAGGAGCATCTCAGGCTGATGCCTTGCAGCCGGCAGAGCTGTGTCCTGGAGATCACCAGACCTCGCTTTCCCCAGAGTGGGATCTGCCTCTGAGGAAAGAGTAGAGGTTTGGAAGTTCCTGGCCTGGCTAGAGTCCAGGCCTTAAAACCAGGGCTCTTCAGAGTCCTGGCACTCTGACTCCAGCCAGGAAAGTGCTTCTGCTATCTGACCACAGTGCTTCCTGCTGTATACTCAGTCTTTCCCACTGTCAGCCTAGAGAAGGACCTGAGGCCTCATCTCATGCTGGGCTCTGTAAACAAAACAGGAAGGGGCCAGAGCCTCAGTTTCCACCCACTGAAGCACAAGTGGGTCGCGTAAGCCCTGTCCGTATCCCGACATCAGTCTTTATGCTTCAAAGCCCCTGGACCATTACCACTGACCGGAAGTGAGGGCCACCTCCATGGCAGGACCAGCTGGGACCGAGGCACCACCCTACGGAGACAGACGCAAGCCAGCAAACTTCACATGGAAGGTCTGGGACGGAGGGACACTTTCCAGAGGTGATACCTGAGACCGCAGGACAGGGACACTGAGAAGGAGTCAGAGCCGAAGGTCCCAGACAGGGGCAGGCAGGGCTCAGAGGCGTCCTGGGCAGGAGGGGGCCCTGGGCCAGCACGGCAGGAGCAGGGGCTGTCGGGGGCCAGGCCAACATGGGGCCTGGGAGTCAGGGTGCCAGGTGGGTGGACACTATGGGAGACAGACAGCAAGCCTCAAGCCCTGGACACACGGATGAGCCCCTCGAGTCCCAGGTCCTACCTGCAAAGGGGGACAGTCTACAGTCCTATCTGCCAGGGCATCAGGGAAGGACAGAAGCACCAGGCACAGGCAGAGGGGCCACTTTATAACAGACTTGCCTGCGTCGCCACAGGAGACCTAGAGGTGGCATGAGGAACCGGCCCTCCAGCCCCACTGACAGACCCCAGCAAGGACCAGTGACCTGTGTGCCATTCCCTGCCCCTCCCCCAAAGCCAGAATGTTAGCCGTGTGGGGTGGGGCGCACCTGGGATCCCAGCACGTGGAGGCTGAGGCAGGAGGATGGCACGTTCCAGGCCAGCCTCAGCAACTTAGKGAGACCCTGAGTCAAAATGAACCATGAGAAGGGCTGGGGTGTGGCTCAGTGGTAAAGTGTCCCTGGGTTCTGTCCCCACCACCAAAAGGAGGGGACGGTGTCAGGATGTGGCTCAGTGGTAGAGCACCCCTAGGGTGAATCCCCAGTGCCACCCAACAACACAAAGCACCCACAGTTCATGGAATATGATGATATGATTCACCCATTTTTTACATGAACAGTTCAGYGCTGTCTATCACCCAGGAGGAAGCCTGTGACATGAGTCCCCCACTCCTTCCCTCCCCTGCCYGGGGCCACTCACTGCGCCTGGGCCYGCWGCAGCGCCTCCCGCCTGCCWCTGGCACAGGCAGGTGAGGGCACCCGGTGGCCAGCGGGTGGGTTCCTGGAAGCCAGCTGCCCTGAGCAAACCAGGAAGGATAGAGTGTCCACCGGGGAGGGGACAGGCCTGGCCCCTCCCCCTCCTGACTCCTCCCCTGGCTGGGAGACCAGGTGGGCCCCTGGGCAGGTGAAGCCTCACCTGCCAGGCCAGGCCTGGTACTCACTCCGGATAGCGGCCTTGCCCCGCATGGTCACACAGATGACCAGCCAGGCTTCCGCAGAGGCCAGGCCTCCCAGGGCCGGGCCAAAGAGCTTCCTGCCCGCGGAGGTAAGCTCTGGGCCCTGTGACGGCCAGCCAGAGGGTGGAAAGAGGGAGGTTCCCGGTGCCCTGAAGCCTGTTGGGAGACTGAGGAGCAGGGCATTGGGGCCAGAGAGCAGGCRGGGGGTGGCCAGGGGCACCTGGTCATGCTGGCACCTGGACACGTTCCAGCAGGTCGCAGGGACCTGGAGGGCAGGGGCAAGGGCTGGCATACTCCTCACTGCTGGACACAGGGCCCTCTGGGCCTCTCCAGGTCCACCCGGGGCAGGCAGGAGAGGGGGTCCCCCTCCCACCCCTGAGTGGAAGTAGTGTTTGGCCCCTCAAGTGTGGGCTCCCGGGAAGCCCAGGCCTCCGGGTGGAAAAGTTTGCCACTGAGGGAACCTGAAGGGGGCTCAGGGCAGCGAAGCTGAGCCCTACACAGGAAGGAACCCCAGGCCCCGTGCAGTGAGGTGCCAAGGGCGGCCAGGGTCAGGGTCAGGGGTGGGACGGTCAGACCCAAATTCCCAGAGAGCTCAGGTGGCCATAGGTGGCCCTTCCACCYAGGAAGCCAGGAATGTACAGGGCACGGTGGCCGGGCAGAGACTGACACCCTGCCATGCCAGGGCTGAGGCTCGGGGGGGCACAGCCTGGCAGAGCCGCCCCGCCCCCTGCCCTCCTGGCCCGACTGCCACTGGAGGCTGCCCTTGGCCTTCTCCCCGCCTCCTCCCGCCTGTGCAGATGAGTGGCGCCTCAGGACTACTGGGAACAGCCGGAGTCCCCCTGGCGTCCCTGACCTGGCCGCTGCCCAGCCCCGAGCCAGCTATGCCCGTGCTGCCAGCCGGGCCACAGATGGACCCCGTGGGGAATGGATCCCAGGAGGCCCCCCGGCTCTTTCTCACCACCGCGCTGGCCCGAGGCATCTCCGGCCTCTTCGTGTGGGCTGCCCTGTTCATCACCTGCCACCAGGTAAGCTGCTCCACCTTCAAGCCTCCCCGGGGGACCTCAGTCTCCATGGGACATGGGCACAGCCCAGGCTGGCCTCCTGGTTGACTCCAGGATCATGGGATCTCAAGGGATGGCCCTCAGGACTAGACATGGAGGCCCAGCTGGACCAGAGGGACAGTGCCCAGGGACCTTCAGGGAGATGTCAGACCCGGGCTCAGGAGAAGGGGTGGACGGGAGCCTTTCAGGACTGAAAGCAGGGYAGGGTACTGGCCGGGCACCACCGGTGGTGTCCTTGGCCCCTGCCCTGCTCACGGAGGCACAGCCTGGCAGAGCTGCCCCGTGGAACAGTGTCACTTCCCATTCGGGAACATGGAGGCTCTGAGAGGAGCAAAGGCCTTCTCTCTCCAGAGCCTTGGCGTCCCCAGAAGGCTGCAGATGGTTTGGACTTTGCTCTGTAGGGAGCCTCAGGAGGAAGCAGGGATCTGGGAGGGGACAGGGGACAGGGGACTGGGAAGCCAGACTGGGGGGCRGGGAGCAGGCCCCAACCTGACTGGGGGGCGCAGGCTTCCTGGAGGGGCCACTCCCGCTCCGTCTCAGCCACGGGAACCTGGAGAAGCAACACTCCCACACCGTGTCCCACGCACCACCCCTGGCCTGTCACCAAGGGGGGAGACAGGACCGTCCCTGGGAGGGGGCACTGGTCAGGCCTATGAGCCAGGAAGGATCAGGGAGTCGCTGGGCAGGAAGTGGTGCCCGAGCTGGGGCTGGGCATGGGGGGGTGGCAGTGGGGACAGGATGGTCCTGGGCACTCTCCAATACACAAGGAGGTACAGAAATCAGGGCCGAGGCCACGTGGGTAGGAGGAGCCCCTGTGTGGCCTGGGGGGCTGCTGGGCTGGGTGAGTGTGGAGGGCCTGACCGCCAGGTGAGGGCTGGGCTGGTCAGGGGAGGGGAGCTGGGGTCCCCAGCACTGGGCGGGAGTGGATGGGCAGGGTGGCCCAGGGGCCTCCAAGGCAGGACCCCCACCTGCTGGTGGGGGGTGTCCAGGTGTGGTCTCACTACCAACACACTAGGGGGCAGTGCAGGGTCTGGAGCCACAGAGGGCCACCAGAGAGGGCTTCCAGGAGGGGACTGCGGCTGAGCTGTGTRTGGCTCTCACCAGTGTCCTGGGGCCACACAGCCTGCACAGGACTCACGAGGGCCCTGGGGCTGCGCTTCAGGCCCTGTTCCCCTGTCCCACCCATCAGCCTCAGCCAGGCCCACCTAAGTCTCTGTCCCTTTAGATCTGACTGGACAGAGAAGGACTTGACCCCTCACTTTACAGACAGGGAAACCAAGGCCAGGGAGGACAGCAGCTTGCCAAGGTCACCAGGCAGTGCCAACCGCGGAGAGGTCTCCTGGTAGCTGGTCATGCCGGGTCCTCCCACTGCACCAGCAGGGGACAGGGTGCCAGATAAGGAGCTGGGCCTGATACCAGCCGGGCCTCCCTCCCGCACCTGACCTTGTGGCCCCRCACACACTGCCCCCTCCACAAAGCACGCCCTGCACACGCTCCCGCAGGGCACCTCCCCAGGAAGTCCCTGCGGCGCCCTGGAAGGGGGCCATGCACCGGCTGCCCCACTTCCTCTTCAAGACCCAGTCCCTGTCTTGTCACGTCCTCATAGAAGACATAGAAAATCCAGGAAGATTTAAAAGTAGAAACCGTACTCACCGCAGTTTCTACCGGGATAAGAAACTGGGTGAATTTCCTTCTATTTTTACCAGGCATTCGTGACACCGTGAGGTCCCATGAGTCTTGTCATTTGGGTTCTTAGGTGTCACATCCTGTCAGAGTGATCCACCATGGGATGCCGTTCTGAGCATATTTTTTAAAAATATGTTTTTAGTTGTAGATGGACACACGGTGTCTTTATTTATTTTATGTGGTGCTGAGGATGGAACCCAGTGCCTCACACATGCTAGGCAAGTGCTTTGCCCCTGAGCATATTTTTACTGCCAGTATAATATTCCTTCCCAGACTTGTTCCACTGTGTGGGAAGCCCTGCCCTCCCTTGTGGGTTCCTTCTTATGTATTGCTATGGTGAATGTCCTTGTGCACAGATATTTTTATTTTTGAGTAGATTTGCTCCTAGTGACAGATTCCTAGAGGAGTTAAAGGGTATAAATCCTTCCAATGTCAGGGCCTAGGGCTCATTCCCTCCCCTTCCCCAGGATCTGACACTTAGCCGGGCTCAAGAAATTCTTGCAGAGTGAATGAATGGGTGTCTCCATTGCCAAAGTTTCACCAAGAACAGGCCTAGCTTGTGCCCAAGCTGATGGTTGTAAATGTGCTGCATGCTTGAGAACTGTAAAATAATTTTAAACTTCCTCACCACAAAAAATGATAGGTATGTGAGGTAAGGAATATGTCAACGGGCTTGATTTTTGCCTGTACAATGTGCGTGTCTGTTAAAATAGGTCGAACAACATAAGTATTATGTACATTTTTTTTTTGGTTTTTTTTTTTTTGGTCCTGGGATTGAACCCAGGGCCTCTACCACTGGGTTATATCCCCAGTCCAAAATCTTTGTGAATTAAAAATAACATATTTAGCCAGGCACGGTGACACATGCCTGTATTCCCAGCAGCTCGGGAAGCTGAGACAGGAGGATCACAAGTTCAAAGCCAGCCTCAGCAATTTAGCAAGGCCCTAAGCAACTCCGTGAGACCCTGTCTCAAAATAAAATATAAAAAAGGGCTGGGGGTGTGGCTCAGTGGCTCAGCRCCCCTGGGTTCAATCCCCAGTACAAAAAAATAAATAAATAATATGTTTAAAAATCTGTATGGTTTCATCTGGGCGCAGTGGTATACATGCCTGTGATCCCAGTGACTAAGGAGGCTGAGGAAGGAGGATCACAAGTTCAAGTTCAATCTTGGCAACTTAGTGAGACACTGTCTCAAAATAAAAAATAAAAGGGCTGGGATGTAGCTCAGTGGTAGAGTGTCCCTGGATTCAGTAGCACTGTGTGTGTGGGTGTTGTGATTAGAAATCTAATGTACGCCTAGGTATAAGGTGCATATCTGATTGGTAGAGTTGATAGATTTTGGATCTGATTACGACAGAGCAATATTGACCTTCCCCTGTCCTAAGGATGCTCCTGGTAGAAGTCCAGGGATCTGGGAAGGTACAGGGGGCCGGTGGTGCCCAGGGGAGCTCTGCCACTGCTCGCACCTCCTTCAGGGCGCCTGGGTGGCAGGGGTGGCTGGGGCAGCCGACCACCCGACCCTCCCGCTCCGGCCCAGATCTACCTGCACCTGCGCTCCTACACGGTGCCCCAGGAGCAGCGCTACATCATCCGCCTGCTGCTCATCGTGCCCATCTATGCCTTCGACTCCTGGCTCAGCCTGCTCCTCCTGGGAGGCCATGAGTACTACGTCTACTTCGACTCTGTGCGGGACTGCTACGAAGGTGACGCTCAGGACCCACGTCTGGGCCGGGGCACCAGGGCTCTGTGGCCAGCCCCCAGGGCACCCTGGCTCTCCCGGCCCTGGYGAGGGAGCCCTGATGGAGGGTGGGCTGTTGGGCCTGGAACGGCAAGGTGCAGGCCTCTAGGGTGAGGGGGACAGTCTGGGCCAGGCCCGAGAGGGCCCATCACAGGCCCACGGACGATGGGGCTGGCCGGAGCCCGTGTGGGCAGGGCTCCTGTGGGCTGGGCTCACACCGGCCCCTCCGTCTGCCCTGCAGCCTTTGCTATTTACAGCTTCCTGAGCCTCTGCTTCCAGTACCTGGGCGGCGAGAGTGCCATCATGGCCGAGATCCGGGGCAAGCCCATCAAGTAAGCCCACCTCCACCTGAGGCCCAGCACAGGGCAGCCCCAGCCGCTGCTGGGGACGTGTCCTCCCAGTGCTTCTGACCTCCTCTCCAYAGGTCCAGCTGCGTCTACGGCACCTGCTGCCTGAGGGGCATGGCCTACTCCATCGGGTTCCTGCGCTTCTGCAAGCAGGTAAGTGGGATCCGACTCGTGGGCTCCTCCTGCCCCTCAGCCCACTCCCTGGCCGTCCAGCCGGAGCGATGGCCAGGTTCAGGCCGCCCTGCCATTGATTTGGTATCGTTTATATATTTTGGATCTGATTATGACAGAGCGATATTGACCTTCCCTCTAGAGACTTCTGCTCCTGGTAGAAGTTGAGGGACCATGGGAAGGTACAGGTGGCTGGTGGAGCCCCAGGGGGCTCTGCTATTGTGTTGGGGGCTAGCTCACGGCCAGCTGCTGTCCCCCACCAGTGCCCCTTGCCCACCCCAGGCCACGCTGCAGTTCTGCATGGTGAAGCCCATCATGGCCTTGGCCACCATCATCCTCCAAGCCTTCGGCAGATACCGTGATGGGGACTTCAGGTAGGGCAGGTGCAGGAGCCAGAGCCCAGGGGCCTTTGGGAGTGGGGCTCAGCACGGCTCAGGAAGGGCCCTGTCCTCGCCCACCTGCCCCCTCCTCATGGAGACCGCCAGGGAGGAGCTGGCCTTGTCACACATGGGGACCCCAGGCGGCCCCCGACTCCCACTCTGCKGTGGATCCAAGGAGGACAAGGGTGGGGTGTGAGGACTCACAGGCCACCAGCCAAATGCACCTACTGCTGTTGAGCAGAGCACAGGCTGGCGACCGCGGCATGCTCGGAAAGGAGCCCTGGCCGGCCTCACACCCGCCACCCACCAACACACACACTCTCACACACACACACACGGGTACTCGAGCACACACGTGCACACTTCCATGTCCACAGCAGAAGGACCCACTCCTAAGGCTAGCTGACGGTCTTGGAGGTGGCTTTCTGACAGGGAGTGGGGACATGGACATGCAGGAGGGGCAGGAAGAAGGGCCACCACTTTGCCCGCCCTGCAGGAGGCCCCCCGAAGGCCTGTACCCCTCAGTGCTATCTGCGAGCCCTGGAGGGAGGACCCAGGTGGGGGGCCAGGATCAGGGGTGGGCAGCACAGCTGAGCAGCGGCTCTCCGCGCAGTGTCCGCAGCGGCTACCTGTATGTGACCCTGGTCTACAACGCCTCCGTCAGCCTGGCCCTCTACGCCCTGTTCCTCTTCTACTTCGCCACCCGGGAGCTGCTGCGGCCCTTCGAGCCGGTCCTCAAGTTCCTCACCATCAAGGCCGTCATCTTCCTGTCCTTCTGGCAGGGTGTGTGGACCGCGGGTGGCAGTGCCCAGGCCGGGCTGCAGTCCCAGSAACTGGGTTCCAACCGCACCTCTGTCCCAGACCTCCATGCCCTGTCCCCCCACTTGCAGCTCAGAGCAGTGACTGAGCTGCCCGTGCTGAGCTGGCAGAGCCCAGGCGCGGGATGCGAGAGGTCACCYCGCAGGTCTGTCCTGGGCGCTGGTGGAGGGAAGTCCTGGGGGCTGCAGGTGGAGGCCACAGAGAGGTTTCCTGGGCCCTGCGGGGTGCCTGGGCAGGCCCCCTGTGGGTACTTGGTCCCTGCTTTTGAGGAGGATGACCACGGGGTCTCCAGTGGCTGAATACCATAGGAGCTGGGGGGACGCCAGGCCTGGGGCTGGACGTGGTAGGGCATGCACGCAGGAATCCCAACCTTCAGGGTGCCCAGCCCTTCTCCACTCAGCCATTCCCAGTGGAAGGGATGCCTGACACCTCCAAGACCCTGTCAACCCCAAGCTGGTCCCTCAGGACCCTTGGCCAGTCACCAGTGGGAGCCTTGGTTAATGTCAGCCGTGCCCAGCCTCCTGACCAGGGCTGGTGCCTGAGTGGCTACCTTCATCCCYAGGGATGCTGCTGGCCATCCTAGAGAGGTGTGGGGCTATCCCTGAGGTCCAGGCCATTGATGGCACCAGAGTGGGGGCTGGCACGCTGGCCGCTGGCTACCAGAACTTCCTCATCTGCATTGAGATGCTCTTCGCCTCCCTCGCGCTGCGGTACGCCTTCACCTGCCAGGTGTACTCAGAGAAGAAGGACTCTCCAGGTAAGCCAGGCCCTGCCAGCCGGGCCCGGGAACATCACAGCCCAGTCCACRGGCTAGGCAGGGCGATGTCCCCTGCTGGCTGAGCCAGGCAGGCAGCATCTTCCAGCTCTCAGGGAAATGGGGCTGGACTAGGACCATGGCCTGCGGGTCCTTTGGTGTTGGGGGTGTGCATCCTGAGGGGTGGGGTTGGCTCCCACTAGTCAGTGAAAAGCAGAGTGTGAAGGACTCCCAAAGCATCCCCCAGAGCCCCTCAGAAACTACAGGGACTGGGACCCCTGGCAGGAGGGTCTCTACAGGGACAGGCCCCAGCGCCAAGACTGAGGAGGAGCTGGGCTGGCCTCAGGAGTCCTGGGGTCACCCTCTGCTGAACAAGGCCAGGGCCTGGATAGGCAGGATCCCAGGGCTGGGCATACAATGGGGGATCTGGCAGGGGGCCCCTTGCCCCAGCCCACATGCTGTGTCCCCCCAGCTCCCCCAGCGCCCATGCAGAGCATCTCCAGTGGCCTCAAGGAGACCATCAGCCCTCAGGACATCGTGCAGGATGCTATCCACAACTTCTCCCCTGCCTACCAACAGTACACGCAGCAGGCCACACAGGAGGCCCCGGGGCCTGGCCAAGGTGGACACCCCTCTCCTGGCACCCACCCCTGCTCTGCTAGTGGCTCTGACAGGGGTAGGAAGAGCCGAAACCTGGAGAAGCACATGCTGATCCCTTCAGAAGACCTATAGAGGCACTCGGGGCCTCCAGGGCCTGACTGGGGACCCAGGCTGCTCAGGCCTSAGGGAAAGGACAGACCCCCCCCACCGACCTTCTTGCCAAAGGTGCAGCCTCCACACTCAGCCCAAGGATCAGCGTGAGGGGTGGGCTCTCTTCCCTGGGAGAAGACACCTGGACAAGTTGGACAAGCCCGAGGACCTACTGGGATGACCTGGACATCACCTGCAGGGTGGCCAATRTGGGGCAGGATACTAATGTGACCACTGAGGCTTTGGCTACAGAGGTCCCAGGGGTGCTGCAAGTTGGCTGCTCCTTCCACRTGACAGGCAGATAGATGGATGGTCTGATGCCCCCAGGCAGCTGTAGGAAGAGATGGCCAGGGGACAGCTGGGCAGCCTGGGACAGCAGAGGAGACAGAGCKGAGGGCCTGTGCCTGCTGTGGCCATCTTGAGCACACGAGGAAGGCTCATGCTGCCCTCCACACTGCAGCCACGGGGAGCTCCAGCAAGGWCCCCATACCAGGGCACTCCGGCCATCGACGGAACCACCAGGACTTGCCAGTGACTCGCCCTTATTTATAGATAAATGCCATGGATTTGTAATGGCCTGTTTGCCTTCTGTTCCTGCAGTCAGTACCCTGAGTGGTCCGACGAGGGGTGGGGTGGTCCAGTGGGGCCCATTGTCCTGGGCTGGGTGTCAGGAAGGGTCTTGGTTTTTATGGCCCAGGGTGRCCACCCAAGGCGTCACTCAGAGCGGGGCAGGCCAGAGAGCTCGGCTTCTGAGATGGAACCCAGTTCCGGTTTCTAGGGAGCCAGGGCGGTCCCCTCCCTCTGAGCCTTACTGTCCTCCATAAAATGGAGCTCCTGCTGGCCCCACCCTGTAACAGCCCAGAGCACCAGGCACGGGGACTCAGGCCTGGGACGTCCTCTCCCTTCCTCTTTCCCGCCTGCCCAGGACCCACAGAACCGAGCCTGACAGGCCCTGCCTCGGCTGGAGGGCTCCGAGGCCTTGGAAACATGGAGAAAGCAAAGTAGGGGACTAGGGGGACCTTGTGGAGAGCCTGCACTGGGCCTTGGCAGGAGGGCTGTCTTCCCATGAGGCATGGCAGGCAGAGGGGACCCACAGGGGCAAAAATCTGGATCCTGCAGTACTGGGGGGCAAAGCCAAGGAGGCTCAGGAAAGGGTATGAGGATCCAGGGCCGCTGGCCAGGCAGAGGCCACAGCTACCCAGAGGCCACAGCTCCTGCCACTTAATGTGACCACTGAGTGACCAGTCCACCTGGCTGCCCACTCCCACAGTCATGGGAAGAAGAGGGCAATGTGCCCAGGATCTTGGAGACCAGCTGTGCAGAGCAGTGTCAGWCAAGGGCCACTCCCCTGCCTTCTTGATCCCTGGGCCTAGGGACAAGGGAACTCAAGGCCAGTGGCTTCTGGGCTCAGCAGGACTGCTGATAAGATAGGCCAGGCTCCTCCTTGCAGCCAGCTGGGAAGAACCACCCTCACCCGCCACCTTATCATGCCCTCTGCAGCTGGCACACCCACCAGGAGGCCCTCAGCACTCCACTCCATCTACGAGGTTGGGAGGGGGCTCAGCTCTCCCCAGAGGCCTGCCAACCAAAGAGACCCTGGGCAAGCTTGATGCCAGGCCCGGCCGGTGCCTGGTCAGCAGGGGGCTGGCTCACGCCAACCCTGCCTCAGAGAGGTGTCCTCTGGTCTGAGGTACCTGGAGCCAGGTGCAGAGGAAAAGTGGGCAATGGTCCCCTCCTGCAAGCCCAGAACCATGTGGCTCGGGGCACAATCTTTCTCTGGACAGTACCCACATGTGCCAGGAGCCCACATAGACAACCCTCGTGACAGCCAGGGAAGGTAAGCCCAGAGAGGTCCCACAAGTTACCTGAGGTCACAGCTGGCGGGGGGTGACTACACGGAAGTCCACTCTCCCTGCTCCTCCACCTGCACCTCCACCTGCGAYGGGCCCTCCTTCTTTCCAACAAGACAGCAAATACGGCCATGCGGGTTGATCATGGCGCCCGACTCACGCCACAGGCAGTAGAACACTGCTGAGTGACTTAAGAGGAGCCCTCAGGCTGAGCTCCACTGGTCTCCTGAGGGAAGGGAGGTGAGCAGCTGAGTGGCTTCAGTCTCATTAGRGTTGATGAAGAGGAGCCCCATTACAGCTCCCACGGGGCAGAGGGAGCGGCTGCTTGGCAGGCAGGAACTGGCTTGCCTGCCCAGTGCTCTGCCAAGTTACCTAACTTGCCTTGGCCTCAGTACTCCCATCTGTGAAATGGCCCAGCTGAAAGTCCCCAGGGACCACAGGAGAGGGAAGGGAGGCCTGGTCTGGGCTGGGTGGCTTCCTTTCTGGCTCTGCGTGGCTGCCCTGCCTGGCGGGAGTCTCCTTTCTGGGAAAGGCTGGCCTGGTGTGGGCTGGGGACAGTGTCTACTTTCACAGCTTCCCTGTCCGCCTGCTGCCTCCAAGAGCCTGGGCCATAATTCTGGGCCCCCAGCTGGGGTCAGGGTCCCCAGAGCCACTGCAATGAAGTCTGGCTTAGCTGGGGCTCCATTATTGCCATTCCTGGTATCGAACYCTCACTGTGGTCCCACAGACACAACCCCCACTGGATCAGACACACTCTGAAGTTCTAACGTCCACTCCTGGTCAGCACAGGCCAGAGGAAGACACACTGGTGGTTGGAATCTCTGGGAAGCAGGACTCACTGCAAGCCCAACACTCTGGAGCTGCAGATAAGCACTGCCCCATTGGCCCCTCTGAGGATGGCGAGGTGGGGCTGCTCACCATGAATCGGGTCAGAGGGGCAGCGTCTGCTCAGGACAGCCTGGCTGCCCTTGGCTTTCCAGAGCCACCTGCTTGCTTTAGGCCAGTGCAGGGGCTTTACTGTCTGTCCTCAGCAGACCCAGACCCCCTCCCAACTTCCCACAGGCTTATCTCAAGAGAAAACCCCAGCAAAGCTGGGCTCAGACCTGTGAACCCCAGCTCTAAAGCAGAGGTTGCACTGACTGCCAGAGGCCGGTGGCCAGGGTGGGACGGGGCACTCGGGAAGTCTCCCCCCAGCCAGCAAGTGAGCCTGGAGCAGAGGCAGAAGCTTCCATCCCAGGACTGCCCCTTGTCCAGAGGGTGGGCCCAGGTCTTGACTGGACTCCCAGGGGGGAAAAACGAGAATATGGGAGGGGCACCCCAACAGCCCAGGATGCCAGGTCCTTGACCCAGAGAACCAGCTACACACGAGGATGTAAAACCAGGGGTTTCTTTATTGCAAAGGTACAAAAGCAGTCAGAGCAGCGACGTGTACAGCAATAAATTAGGTGGTGGCCGTGAGATKGGGGGGGTGGGCACGGGGCACAGGTGCGGGTCCACAGCATGTGATCTCCTCTCAATAATTTATATCATGGGGAAAGCAGCAAAAAATAAATATTGAAATGGAACTGCGGCTGGGAGGCCAGGACGCGCTGTGCGTGGCGTGTCGAGGGAGCGCCTGGCCACCCAGGAAAGGCAGAGCCCACCCTCTTTGGGAGGTCTGAGCCACGGGACAGAAAACAAACCCACGACAAAGAGGTCCTTGTCTTTTTCTTAAATTAAAAAAAAAATCATATATTAAATTGTGACAATAAAATTTCAGTGATCTCAAAGGAAAAGCAGAATGTGCCACTTCCTTCCCTGGCCCTGTGCCCGTGAGCACCCTGGACGGAGGCTCCCTGGGTGGTGATGGAAGTTCTGTCCACCCTGGAGGCCGAGTGTGGGGAGCTCCTTCTCTAGCACAGCACCACAGGCCAAGAGCGGGAAGCCACTCATAGCCAGAAGCCTGCCACATCCCAGAGATGTGACAGACCCCAGGGCTAGACAGAACTTGCAGCTGCGTGGCCTGCCCTGGGGGCCACCCACCAAGCATGGTGCCTGCTGGGGCTAGGCCTTGTCCCCAGGCCCAGCACACACCAGAGGGGGCAGCACACTCTCACCCCATCCAACACAACTCTGCACTAATGAAGATCTACAGTATCAAACTGGAAAAAACTTATGAAAAATCTGTACGATAAAATGTGTATATAATTTTATATATATATATATATATATTCTTTTTCTCTTTAAATATTTCCCATGGCCCTTATTGATATCCAATATGGATTACCTACCATGGCTATGGTATCGACAGCTTCAAGTGCCCGGCACAGCCTCCTGCTCTGAGGCTCCAGTGTGACCCCAYGTAGCTGGGCTGCAGCTTGGCCAACCCTCAGCACTGCACTGGACCCAGAAGAAGACCAGTCGCATGGTGGTGCCACCAGAGAAGCCCTGACGCTTTCTATTCACTTCTGACAGCAGACTCAGAACCACGTTGCAGCCCTCGGACCGCCCATCCTCGGCCCTCCTTGCACATAGTGCGGCAGCTTGCTGGGGTACAGGKCAGGCCAGGAGGGAACTGGGAGTGAGGGGCGCAACTCCCTCACTGCCTGTCACGCACAGTGGCTTCCAGTTGGCAGCAGGACACAGGGCTCATGTTCCACCGGCTCACCCCAGACAGGGGTGTCCAAGCCAACTCCTCTTGCCAAGACCCCAGTCAGAGGAGGGTGCCCTGCAGCAGTGCTCTGGGAAAGGAAGTCCCGGAAGGATCCCCAAGATCATGAGCAGTTCAGAGCTCCATGAAGAAAGAGCAGGTGAAGGCTCTGGGTGATGGCCCAGCACCAGGGCGCAGGGACCCACCTCTGCCCCAAGCCCGTCTGGGGGGCTCCTGGCTGACCTCAACACAGAGGCAGGCCTGTGAGGAGTTCCCTGCAGTGCCCTCACCCCCATGCTGTGCTCTCAGGCCTCCTTCATGTCCCCGGGCCCCATCTCAGAGCCTTGGCTCCATCCTCACCCCCCCCCCCACTGCTCCACCCCACCCAGCAGCAGGAAGCACAGTGGTCTGTGGGGTACGCCACCCAGGACATCAACTGACACGTCCATGTCCACCGACATCCCTGAGGCCTCCACTCCTCTCCAAACCACACAACCCTTCCCTACAGGCCTCGAGATCTCCACCTTCCCCACCTCGATGAGCACAGCCAGCCAGAGRCAGCTCTAGGGAAACCAAGATCTGCTTTCCAGCAGCTGATGGGATGCTCCTGCCCTCATCTTGTGAAATCCAGGGATGGCCAGCAGGCTGGCAGAAAGCCAGCTGGCTCTGCCGGCTGGGCCTTGCTGGGCAGCCACCTTGGGTCACACAGCACAAGGGAAACTTCACAACATACGCACAACTCTCTGCACACATACTGGACAGGCCTTCCTGACATGACCCCGGTGCTTCTGGTGTACAGGCCCTGTGACAGCAGGCCYGTGGGGGCATAGACACTAGCACACAGCCTCTCCCGTCTCTGCTTCCCAGGGCTCGGGCTGGGTGTAAGGGCTAAAGCTCATCGTAGCACGCTTCAGTGGGACAACGGAAGACCAGAGCTGCCTTCGAGCTCCCTCACTCCCCCCAGGGGCATCCAGAGCTTGGGGAAGTCAGCACAGGGTGCCTGGCCCAGGTGGGAGCCATGGCAGGACGGTGTTAAAGGCTGCTTGCAAGAGGAGTGGAAGATGAGCCCCACACCCAGCCACAGGGGCCCCTCCTGCTGGCAGACCCTGCAGGGGACTGTGGGGTCATCTCCCACTGACTCCTGAAACAGACCCATCTGGAGRGGAGGGACAGGGCGTGAGGGTGGCGTGCACCTGTGTGTGCATGGCGGTGTGCTGTGCCTGGCTCACAAGAGCCTACTCTTCATCTGGCACCTYGCTTGTCCCCACTCTCAGCCCCGAGGGGTCTGCAATGACTGGTGTTTCGAGTCTGCGCCAGGACCCTGGGCAGGCACGAGGGACGTGCCGCCTCACGGCCCAAGCAGGCACTAGGACGCGGCTGAGAAGGGCACAGAGGTGGAGGAGATCTCTGTGGACTTGACGATGGTGATGACGCTGGTGGTGGCCACCTTGGTGGGTGTGACGGGTCCGCGGGCCACAGTGCGGGCGAAGGTCTGCAGGGCCTCGTATTTGGAGCGCAGGGCGTCCAGCTCTAGCCGCATGCTGCTGTTCTCGCGGGCCAACTTCTCCACCTCCTGCTGTAGCTCCACCCGCTGCCGCTCCAGCTCTTCCTTCTGTGTCACCCGCTTGATGCGGCAGCTGGCGGCGTAGCCGCGGTTCTTGAGCGTGCGCCGGCGCTGCTTCAGGCGGGTGACCTCCTCCTTAGTGAGCCCCCGGAGGTGCTGGTTCAACTCCCGCACTGACATGGACACCAGCTCATCATCACTGAGCACYGGGGCGTTCTCGCCCGCCTCCTTCTTGACCTGCAAGGCCACAGTGGGTCAGCACCAAGCCCCTGCAGTATCCACACCTCAGCCTGCTCTGCAGCAGCCCACAGCTGATTTGGGGCAGCAGAAAGACCCAGCAGTAGCACCCACCTGCCCTCTATCTGGGGCTAGTCCCCCTGCTACAACAGGGACATTGTGCACAGGACGCAGCACCACGAAGCCACATCAGGCAGTCCTACTACAGCTGCTGTCACCGTGATCCTTTTGAACAGGGAGGACCTGACAGCTGTTCCCTCAGGAAGGCCACAGGTGACATCACCCTTACCACTGTAAGCCTCCCAAGTTCCATATGGATGTCCTGCTCATGGGATGCTCCAACGCTGGGGACTGATTCAGGAAGGATCTCAACCAACCCTTCCAGGGTGAGGCTGGGTGGCTCACTCTTCCCCTAACACCTGCACATCGCCTCCCAGAGTGACACTGGGGTCTGGCTAGGCAGGGCCACCTCAAGGGAGCAGGAACCCCAGAAGTGGAATGGAGGTGCAGGRTACACACAATCTCAGTTCTGCATATGGTTCCCAAGAGCCCCAAACATGAAGGCCGACCCAAGGGCAGCCTGTCACAGAAGCTGAGGGCCCAGGAGGCAGCAAGCACCAGCAGAGATGGAGCCCGGTCACTGGAGCTGGAGCACCCCACCCACTGGAGGCCACTCTGCCCAAGCCTGGTACTGGGAATTCAATTCAGGCAGGAACAGAACCCGCAGACAAAGCCCCAGATGGCAGGCATCTAACCCTACATCCCCGGTGTGTCACCCAACTCTGTTGAGAATGTTCTCCCAGCCTGTGGTCCCCATCTATTCCCAGGGACAGGGACTCCACCCCTAAGGGCAAATCTGAGAAAGGAGGAGCTTCCAGGTCAGGAGGAATCTTTCTTGTGTAGTGCCCAGGACAGGGATGGCTGCCCAGGGCTGCCACCCGCCATACCTTTAACGCCTTGTTGGGCTTGGGATTAGTCGTCATAACCCGGGCACAATCACCAGGACGGAAGTGCTGGGAAACTGCAACTGCAGAAACACAGAAGAACACAGAGGGCGAGAGGGTTAGCCCTGGTGAGCTCAGGACTGCGCACCGTCTCCCTGCAAGAGGCTCCCAGGAGACAGCCTATCACAGTGCCCCAAGAACATCCCAAGGGGCTGCCCCAGCCCATCTGCCCAGGAGGCTCCAGTAAGACCCAGCTCGGCTGACACTCTAGCCGAGCTCACAGAACAGTCAGGACTCTCAGCCCCAGGCCCAGAAGCTGTGTGGCCCCTTACTGCCCCCAAACCTGGCAGGTGCTGGAGCCCCCAGGACTGGGGGTGAAGCCTGGCACTGGCAGTTGTTGCTTCCTACCCCCACTCCCCTCCCACCTCACAAGATGTTGGCACCAGTGAGGTACAAGATGCTACAGCCAACAGAACACAGACCAGTCGCAAAGCTACCACCAAGAATGGCCATGCCTGGACAGTGTCCCTGCCTGGCAACAGCTCTGGCTGATTCAGACCCGCAGGGAGAGAAAGGGCCCTTTCAGAGAGCCCCTGCCACTACTGAACCCCATCCTCAAAAGTGGACAGAGTAGAGCACTTGCCACCTCTCCCCAGCCCCACCCAGCCCGCCTGTCCCTGGCACCTACCGCGGGGAAGGGAACTGCAGCTGTGACATCACCACCTCAGCCTGGCTGCCCCTAGTCTGCTCAGGTGACTCTGGGGCCCCAAGGATGGGTGGGGGCTCCTGGTGGGCATCAGTTTAGAGAGAAGGGCCAGAGATAGGAGGTGAGGAGTCATGGCTGCCTGGCAGAACTAATCAACTGTCTGGTGAGACTTGTCCCCGCCAACCGCCCTTCTCATTTTAGAGTCTGCATTGTGTCACACATTCTAATCATTCATGAAAAACCCAGCCAAAGCATCCCAAGCATGATTCCCCTCTGATAGTTGCCATGACGACCTTGGGAAGTAGCCAACCCCTGATGGTTGCCATAGAAACAGAGAAGCCCAAAAGCAATCATGACTTCAGGTCAGGCCTGTGCAAAGACATCATGAGGTTGTCAGACAGTAAACAAACTCATTCATTTTAACCCCAGAAGAAAGGGGAGAAACACAGGGTGGCCACTGGATGGGCCACACCCCCACACATCCACACTCTAGGGATGAGTTGAAGCAGAAGCAGAGAAACACATGGAAAAGGGGTACAGAGGACAGACTGGGGCTGGATGGTGGGCGACCTCCACTGCCCCTCTCCCTGCAGGCCTGGGTCCCGCCACCCTCTAAACAAGAAGCTGCTGATGAACACAGGATCCACACTCTGCGCTACAGTCACCAGCACCTGGTGACTCCAGCTGCTCCCATGGAAACTGAAGTGGACAGCAGGGGCCAGCTGGGGAGCCTCAGGTAGGCTTGGGGCTCCTCTCGAGGGAGGGACTGTCTGACACCTTATAGGCCCAGGCYTGAAATGGACAAGCAGCAGCTCAGGGTGAACATGGAGGCCTGAGGCATGCCACCTCCATCACCCTGAGCTGGGTGACAGAGACCCTGGAGAAGCCCTGGGCTCTGGCCACCCTGTAGGGCCCTGCAGGACCCAGGCGCCTGGGAGCTCCATGACTCCATGAGAAACTTTTCCATGCGAGGGAGGAGGGACCAGGCACCTCTTCCAGCAACTACAAGTCAGTGACATAACTATGCGGTGAGTCACCAGCTGTTTACAGAGCCGCTCACATTCCCACACAAGGACGCCCCTCCCACCCGTATGGCACTAGCTGGGGCCCCTGAGGCCAGTGGAAAAGGAAGGTGCTAGGGAAGGGGCCTCTGGTCAGACCCACAGGTGACRTGCTGTGCTCCGCGGGGAGCTGAGGGACAGACCTTAACCCTAAGGAACTGCCTCCCATGACCACAGAGGTGGGACACCGAGGGACTAGGATGTGCAAGACTCAGTCTCCAGGGGACCACACTCAGAGAAGTCAAGCCCTTCCATGATTTGAGGACCCTTGGGTGGCCAGATAGGTCACTCCGATCCATCTGCCAACTCTGAGCCTACCACAACCACTTCGCTTGCCTCTGGGGACCCAAGACCACTGAGAGAAAGCAACCAACATGGGTCCTGGCTCAGGCCCTAGGGAGGGACGCAGGGAGGGGGCTCTGAATTCCAGAATCCCTTAGTCCTCAGACCTGCCATCTTAAAGAGCACTGARGATGGAGAAGATGCAGACAAACCCACCCTCTTCCCAAGAGGCCTCTTCCCCACAGAACAAACCTCGGCTCTTCATGGGTCATTTCCTCAGAAAAATGAAGGAAGGAAACAAAGGGCCCAGGCTGGGCCCAGCAGGGGACACTAGATCCCACCTGGGTTCTCCCCCACCACCACACCTGCACCCACTCCTGAGCACCAGGAGCCCAGCCCAGCAGTMCAGGCCAGGGGATAGGCTGGGGGTGGGGTGCAGGCAGGAGAAGCCCCCCCACCCTGCACTGGGCACCACACCCACACCTTTTCCCTCAGGCAGATGAGGTCTCGGCTTCTGCCCCAGGAACCTGGTTCTGCTGGGGAAACCTGGATCCTCTGTTGGGATGGTTCGGCCAATGTCTGCCCACATAAAAGGTGAGGACAGATGGGCTGCAGGTCAAGGTTCTGCCCTTCAGTCTGACGCCAGGCACAGGGGCAGCCCAGGCATGGTGCTTCTCATGAACCCAGTCCACCGGGTAGGCTGGTGCCTCTGCCCAGCACTCACAAAGTACACCCGTGCAGTACTGACCTTGCGTTGCTTTAAACATCAAAGGCAAGAAAAATGACAACTGGCCTTTGGAATGAGGTTCAAGGGAGAGTTTTACTTTTTTGCAGTGCTGGGGATGGAACCCAAGGCCTTGTACAGATCAGGCAAGAGCTCCACCCCTGAGCTGCACCTCCAGTCCCAGGAGAGTCCTGTACGTGTGAAAGAGTTTGCAAAACAAGTGACTTAAAAATGCTCTGAAGGGGCTCCGTAAGCCACTGACCTGAGAGCCACAGGGCGCATTTCGTGAGAAGACTCCTTTCTGAGCCGGGGCTAAGACTGTAGGCAGAAGGGTGTGCGGAGCCCACAGGAAGCCCCAGAGAAGCCCTCTTCCTGGCACTGGGGCCCAAGGCAGGCCTCTCTTGGGCAGCTTCTGGTAAGGGTGCTCTGAGCCTTCCATCAGCCAACAGCATACAAGCCCCCATGCCCTGAGCTACTTGGAATTCTAGAAAAGTCACCTGAGAAGTTCAGCAGTCAAATACTGGGCCTGAGGGTGGGGTTTCTCCATAAAGTCAGGCGGCTGGCCAACTGCACTGGTCTCCATTCCCCCTGCATGCAACCACTTTCCAACCTAGGTGGGTGGGGACTGCTTCCCGGCCCACATCCCAGGACAGGCAGCTGGTCAAGAAGGCTCACGTGGTGGAGCCTTACCTACCACACACAAAGTCCAGGGTGGATTCCAGCACCGCAAACAAACACAGGTGCACATGCAGCACCTTCCAGGTGACTACTAACATTTAAAGAGTTATCAGCTGTATCCATCTATATTCTCTGAGGGCATGCCAGCCACCCCTGGTAGTGTCCACTCCACAGAATTAGGGAGCCAGGGTGGGGAGCCCTCCTATTTCAGGATAGATCCAGGCAGGAGGCCCGGTAGGCATTCTGCAGAGGATTCAATCCCAGCCTGGGTGTCCTGGGGGGCAGGGCGGGGTGGCTTGGCTCAATAGCTCAGGAAGGGACCTTTCAGAAGCAGATCACCTCACATTCCAGGGATCATTCTTTACTGTTCAACTTCCAGCTGCTGTCCCTGGTGCCCCACTGCTCTGACTGCAYCTGGGGACTTCCCAGGCACACCGTGAGAAGGACTGGCCTGGGCCTGTGGGTGGGGTTTTCTCCGTCAAGTCAGGTGGCTGATCAGCCCCAGGGCCCTAAGTAACAGTGCTAGGGAGGCTTCCTAGGAGAAAAGGAGGCTCCACACAGTTCCCAAGTGTCCTGATGCTTAAGGAGATAAATGACTAGACAGGACCCTCTATGTCACCTTCTGCTGGAGCTAAGATGTGAAGCTGGGTGGGCTCTAGGTAAGACACTTGTTCTTTAGGGGTGATGTGACTACAAGGCCAGGACCCTCCACTTTCAGCCCACCTGAGAAGGAGAGGTAAGCCTTTCCTTTCCTACTCTCCAGAGTGGGAAGGAGGTGCAGTGGCCCGCTGTCTGAGGAGAGCAGATTCAAACTCTAGCTGGACATAGCAATAGCCCTTGCTCTCCAATGGGTGCAAGTCACAAAACCTGAAGCCACCGAGGCCACAACTACCCACTCGCAGGAGCTGGAAACACTTCTACAAGCACCCAAAGCAAGTGCCCTTCCGAGGAGCCACAAGGGAGGCAGGGCCTACATTGCGCCAGCACCCAGTGGGTGCTTGTCAATGGTAACCCAGCTGGTGCCACAGAAGAGCTAGTAATGGCTCAGCCCACTGAAGACCAGGAAGCCTCCACTGGCCCCTCCTGCCCTAGACATAGCCCCCTCGGTGTGTAGTACTGTCCTGCAGCCTGGCCCTGGCTGGCCGCCCTCCAGCAAGCCACAACTGTCTGCCCAGCTCAGAGGACGTCTGGTCACCTTGTGCCTGCAGTCGCAGGAAGCTGTGTCATCCCAGCTACATCCAGAGGTGACTCAAGCCAGGGCTGCAGAGGCTGCAGCTACATAACACGCCCCCTCAAGCAGCCCCCACCATTATGCCCCTCACCCCAGCTCACTGASTTGTCCCTCTGCCAGCAGCTCCCCTTAAGGGTTCTATTCTGTACCCAGTCATTCTAAGGCTTCAGCCAACTCCAGGCTGGGCCAGGGATGTCCCCTGGGAAAAACCAAGGGCAAAGACCTGCCTTTCCTCCCCCCAAACCCCTCCTCCTGGGTCTCTAGCTTAGTGATGACAGTGCCCCCACATCATCAGGTGAAATCATCCCCAAGTCCCTCTGCTCTGTCTGCTCTGTGACCAGGGCTTGAGGACTAGTCCTCAAGTTCTCCTGCCCACACCGTGTCTCAGCTCAGGCCCTGACTTCTACCTGAAAACAGCGCCACTTCAACAGAACCCCCGACTTGGATCCTGGTGCCTCAAACACAGTCTCCCAGGCAGGTGGAGACCTTGAAGTCCTTCTTGGGCAGCTAATACCTATCTGTCACCATCTCAGCCCTCCTCTTCTGGCTCCCAATAGACCCTGCTGTGCTGACCACAGCTCACTCCCCAACACACTTCTTCCAGAAAGTCCTCCTAGCTGTGTTCTTTGGGGCAAGCAATMACCTTGGAACAAGAGCTGGTTCTAGACCTTTCTGTTGACAGGCAGACCTCCTCAGTGCACGGAGAGCTCCTGGCAAGCAGGGAACAGGTCTTACTTTAGTTCCCCTCAGGGTACCCAGCCATTAAGAAAGGTCTGCTGCATATGCAGCGGTAGGGCTCCAGCAGGGAGCCTGGGTAAGGTGTTCATCCGACCCACCTCCCAGGGCACCAGAAAGCAGCACTGAAGAGCAGACAAGCACCAGACCAGGCTGACTCTGACCTGGGCCAGAGAGCGATGCCTGGTAGTTGCAGTCCCCTCACCTACAGTGGGAGATGCGACGGACCGTGTGTGACCACTCAGGTTCATTCCTACCTGCTCTGAAATTCTACAATTTTCAGATAACACTTTCAGTTTCCTTAAACCATAAAGAGGAAACACGGGGTCTGTGACTTATGAAAAGCAAAAGTGAATACGGAGCAACACATCTCCCATTAGCTGGGACAGGGAGGGTGGGGAACGCAGTGTGAGTCACTGTTTACTGCTCTCAGGAGCAGCCACACAGAATTCTCCCAGCTGGCCGGATTTCCATTTCCCGTGTGGACAGGACCTGAAATCCAGAAAGCCCAATGCAGAAGACTCCCGCCTCAGCAAAGTCCAGGGCAGAAACAGGCACAACTTCTTCTCGGTCTAGACGGGGACTGTAAACAAACCCTGGAGCCATCCCACAGCTCCAAGAGTGAAAGCTGAGAGTTGTGGACAAAGAATGGTTGGTAAACAGTCTTCCTCCACAGCAGCATCTAGGGCGCTAGGGAAAAGGCGACCCCTGGAAAAGTTGGCTTCCCAGGGACCCTCTATCCAACTCCCATTTCAGCAACCACCTGGAAAGTACGCAACACTGGACTTGGAACTAGTCCCTCTGACCTTGCTGGTCCAAATATAAAAGTAAATGTGCTCCAGAGGAAAGCCCAGTTTGCTTTTTGCCTTATTAAATATTCTGCTTTGGAATAAAGAGAGGGCTAGTTTTAAGTGATAAAAGCAGGTCCCCCTCTGCCAAGGTCAAACTAATTGAGCTGCCTAAGGAGGGAGTTCTCATGAATGGTGCTGGCGACCCATAGTGCACAGCCCCCTTACCTCTCTGATCCCACTCACCTGATACAACTAATACCTTAAAAAAAAAAAAAAAAAAAAAAACCTCCCTGCAGCAGCTTAGGAGGCTGAAGCAGGAGGATCTCAAGTTCAAAGCCAGCCTCAGCAACTTAGTGAAGCCCTAAGCAATTTAGCAAGACCCTATCTCAAAATACAAATTTTTAAAAGGTTAAGGATGTGGCTCAGTGGTTAAGCACCCCTGGATTCAATACCTGGTACCAAAACAAAAACAAAAAACTCCCGGCCCTGAAAACACCAGGCTTGGAGAAGCCTAGCTCCAGGGTGCATCAGATCTTGCACATGCATTTCACCAAGATGCCCTGTGCAATCCCAATGTCACTCATCAATGCTAATAAAGGGGTCCTAGAGCCCATCCTGGTGGGTAAAGGGACTTCTACCAGGCCATGCGGAAGGATTAGGGTCTGCTGCTTCTTGGGGCCAGACACCTGTCAACTGAATGAATGGTTAGGTGCATCCAAATTCTGCCTATGCTACCAGCTTCATGAAAAGCAACCCAGGACAATCTCTAACACAAGATCCAAGAGCAGGGAGCTAGCTGCCAGCCTTCCTAGACACAGGATGCTACCCCAATAGGGCAACTTGCACAGAGCCAAAGTGCCTGCACAGGGTGAGGATGCCAGGGAGTACGGGGCCAGACAACTGGCTCTTCCTAAGGCAGACCTAAGACAGGYCCCAGAGACCAGAAGGCTTTCTGTGACCTGTGGTTTGCTAGACTTGCCTTATTTCTTGCCCCTGCTCCCAGRCTCCCCAGAAGTGTGCCCAGGCCAGCCACAGAGTAGACCATACCTATTGACTAACCCCACAGAAGCAGAGAAGAACGCCCACGAGGAGTTGGAGGAGACCTTGGCCCCTGACCACACCTGAGGAAAGTGACGGAAGCAACATGCGGGCCAAGACTGTCACCTGCCGCCCTCCCCTCCCATAGCTTCCACATCGCGGCCTTCCTTCCGGCACCCCTGGCAGGTCAGCTGATTAGCGAGTGACACCAGCCACCAAGGCCGACGGAGACCGGCTGGCCCCTACCCACTCAGGGGGCACGTGCACCCTGCCCTGGGCGCGAGTCGCGCCACTCAGGAAGTGTCTGAGCGCGGGCTTCCCTGCCGCGCGGCAGCTGCAGGTGAGCGGCGGCCGCCGCGCTCCTACACGTGCCGGTAGTGCCCCGGTGCGGGTCTCGGGTACCTCGGTACTGCGGAGCCCGGGTCCCGCCGACGGCCGGGCGCCACGGCCGGGCTCGGTCCGGCGGCACGTGCGCGGGGACAGAGGGCGGTCGTCGGGCAGGTGTGCCCGCGGGTCTCGGCCCGTCCCGGCGGCCCCGGTGCCCGGCGGCCGTGACTCAGCGCCAGGCCGCCCGCCGCCCCGCGGAGCCGCGCGTCCCGCCCGCCCCGTCGCGTCCCGTCCCGCGGCCCGGCCGCCGCCCCTCACCTGGCCTCGCGGCCGGGGCGCGGCGGCTCCTCGCGGGCACGCGCTCTCCTCGCCGCTTCTCGCTCTCGCGCTCCCCGAGTCGCCGCCTCCGCTAGCGCACGGGCTCGGACTTCGCGAAGAACAACAAGTACCCAACGCCCGCCGCCGCCGCCGCCGCCCGCCGCCGGCTCCAGCTCTGACACCGCTTCCGGGATCGCGCGTCGGCGCGCGTCAGCGCCCGCCCCGCCCCCAGGCCCAGCCCCGCCCGCAGAGGCTCCGCCCCGCTCCGGCGCCCGGCCTCCGGCCACGCCCATCGGGCTCCGCCCCCGCCTGCCGCCGGGCGGCCCTTGTGCGATTTAGTCACCGGCCAGGATTCGCGCTGGGACCGGCACCTGTGCCCACCTGTGTCTTCGTGGTGACCCCTCCCGTCTCCAGGCGCGCCCTGACCCTGCGTCCCTACCAGGCTGGGGGATGACAGGCGAGCTCCAGGGACCCCAGGGTGTCTACACCCTACAGTTCGCAGGCACACACAACCTGGGCATCATGTCGTGCCCCGTACCTAAGAGATACACACACCCCTGCCACCCACTATAGTTCTAAGGTCAAACCAAGCGGGCCGAGGCTGCTGAGGGTTCCTAGGAGCCTCGCACAGGGAGTGGAGAAGAGTTTGCTTATGCCCAGGTCATAGGTCAAGGGGGAAGTGGTCTGGGCGCTAGGAATGGGTCCAGGATCCCAGTACCCACTCTGCAGGGCAGGTGGGTCCCACAGAGGACGAAGAGATGCCTAGTGTCCCCCACTGACCAACACTCTCATCTGTCTTGATTTCTCACTTGACCTAACAATGCATAAAGGAAACTATTTCTTTTTTTGTGAAAGACAATACTGTAAAGATGTGATTGTAAATGATTATTGACCAACCGCCTCAGTGTTCAGGAGCAAGAGAAACCCAGGCCCACCTGAAACCCCAGCACAGGCAGACCCAAGGTGGGCAAGTGCCTCCAGCCCTAGGAATCCTGAGAGGGATGCTCAGATGGCATGAGCCCCCAGAGGGGAACTGCTCCTCTTCCTGCCCCAGATGGGCAGAGCTGGAGGATGGCCATTCTGAGTCATTGGGATGAGCATGCCAGCCCCTGCTTAAAAACTCAGATGTGTTTCTGGGTCCCTCCCTGAGAACCAGGAGCTGCCTAATGAGGCCTTCCTGGTCTGAGCTGAAGAAGAGGAAGCATGCCCAGACTCCYGCAGGCATAGGCAGCATCTGCCCAGGACCTTTAGAAGGCTGCTTTCCCAGGTCTGAGGTGCTGCCCGCACATCCTGGGGGTCAAAAGGAGCAACTGCCAAGGAGCCTGTGGGTCTCCTCAAGTGGTCAGAACCACCCCAGACCCTACTTTAGGAAGTTCCATGGCCTCATGCCACAGAGAACATCAGCCTCCTGCTTTTACTCCCAAAGACTCCTCTGGCCCTGGACGGTAGGGCAGTCCTTCACACTGGATGCACTCAGCCTTGGAGACCTGCTTGTAAAGACTCTCAAACACTGGCTGCTAGTACAGATCAACAGCAGCAGAGGTGACAATGGTTCCCCTTTGCAGAATGTGTTCAGAGTGGCTCGCCTGGGATCTAAAAGGTATTTCCCAAGTGGGGACACAGGTCACATGTGGAAATGACCTTTTTAGGGCAAGGGTTGAATCTTTGAGTCAGTTTCCTGGACTTCAAAGTAGGCTTAAAGCCAAGCATGGTGGTGCATACCTGTCATCCCAGCAACTTGAGAGACTGAGGCAGGAGGATTGCAAGTTTTAGGCCAGCCTCAGCAATTTAGCAAGACCCTCAGCAACTTAGTGAGACCCTGTCTCAAAAAAAAAAAAAAGTAGCTCAGTGGTAGAGCAATCCTGGGTTCAATCCCCAGAACCACTACCACAAAAAAAAAAAAAAAAAAAGTGAGTTGGATGTGGGCTTTTAAAAAAAAATTTGTAGTTGTAGTTGGACACAATACCCTTACTTTTATTTGTTTTTATTTTTATGTGGTGCTGAGGATGGAACCCAGTGCCTCGCACGTGCTAGGCAAGCACTTTACTGCTGAGCCACAACCTCAGCCCCTGGATGTGGACTCTTTAAACAAATGATGCGGAGACATTAGAAAACTTAGAAAAAGATAAAGTTGGGTCCCAGTTTGCCCACACMGTATATCACTATATATTTTAAATGGACCCAGAATTATAAATTTTTAAAAAGAAACCATTACATGGTGAAAAAGTTTTTGAGATGGGTGGAGGTGATGCTTTGTCCAGGAGTTCAAATTTTTTTTTACATGGTTTATTACAACAACAAAAAATTTAATCAAGTGAAAATAAACTGAACAATAAACAAATAMACACTCAAAACAAAATATTTTCCATTGGAAACATGTTAAGATGAATACGGGGCTTTGTTACCATCTTACTGCAATTTTTTTATGTGTTACTAGCCTACATACCCCATGTTTTCTGTAATCATGCAGATGTGAATGGAAGTTTGAATGATTAAATACATGAAAAGTCCATTTACTGCAGAGAATCATTTCACAAGGCAGCCACACTGGTTTTAGAGAACAAAATCATTCAAGAAATTCTCCAAGTATCTAGGTTCATTTTAGAATCTGTGAACSTTAAGCTGCTCCTCCTTGACAATGCCAACCTCCAAGAGAAACTGGCAAATGTTTTTTTCTTTGGTCACCTTGAAGTTGAATAACCTCCCCGTATTCAGGATGTTCAATCACAGTACCATTACAGGCAAATTTCTTTTTGAAAGCTTTCACAAGTTTCTTTTTGTCATAATCATCTGCAATGCCCTGAACTGTAGTCAGTGTCTTCCTGCCGTCTTGTGTAGGACAATTTTTTTTTTTTTACGTTTTTAAAAAATAAAAGGAAATCATTGTTAAAAATCCCGATGTCATAAAAAAAAAAAAAAGATTTAAGGCAAAAATTGTTACAAGTGAACTCATAACGCAAACTACATCCTAGGGAAAAAACACTTGCAACTCTGAGCACTAAGGGTAGTCTCCCTACCATGGAAAAGACTCCAAAGCTCTGGAGGCTGAAGAAGTGAGGCTCGTGAGTCCAAAGCCAGCCTCGGCAACTTAGCGAGGCCCTAAGCAACTTAGTGAGACCCTGTCTCTAAATAAAATATAAAAAGGGCTGGGGATGTGGCTCAGTGGTTAAGTCTTCCTGGTTTGCAATTTCTAGTACAAAAAAAAAAAAAAGGACTTCTAAAAATGTGTGTGTGCATGMGTGTGTGAATATAGTTATCTTTTTTTTTTTTACTTTTTTGGTACCAGGAATTGAGCCCAGGGCCACTTAACTGCTAAGCCACATCTCCAGAATTTTTAATTTTTTATTTTGAGAGAGGTTTTCACTAAACTACCCAGAGCCTCACTAAGTGGCGAAGGCTGGCCTTGAACTTCCATCCTGCTCAGCCTCCTGAGTTGCTGGGATTACAGACACACACCACTGCACCCATTTTCTTTTAGATCATTCTTGTGACTGTCAGATTGTRTGACTTACCTATTATTAAAAACGTTAAAAGAAAGCTAAAATGGAGGGAACCATTGTTTCCAAGCCGCTGAGAAGTTCCAGCGACGTCCCTGGCACCTGATGATCCTCGATAACACTGCCTTTGGATTCTGGCTTTGTGGCAGAGTTGGTGTTGGTTGTGGCTCGATGAACTGCCCCTCTTTGCCCTTGCCCCAGCCAAGCAGAGCGGGCACCCCCTGGAAGGGGCAGGATCCATCCCACCCTCCCTTCTTCTGGAGAGTTGGAGTGGACTCCAATGACCATGGCTGAGGTTAGGGAAAGGGGACAACATGGAGGCCACCCCTGATCACCCTGTGACAGGAAGACAGGCTGGACTGAGCCAGTGCTAGCCCTGAGGGGAGTGAGGATTCCAGCAGTCCACCCCTCAGGACCTCTATAAATATTCCCCCAGGGACCCAGACCCCAGAATCGGGGTGTTGGGGTCTGAGAGAGGCTGGACTTCAGGAATCCTGCAGCGCCACCTTTGGTAGCCAAGCATGGCTCTCCGGGAGCTGAGATGGGGCCCAGTATTTGCGCCTCATGCCTGCAAAGGAGCAGCTGTTGCGGGCGGATGTTTGCTGACCATACAATGCATGACTCATGCGTCAGCGCACGGTTACAGTGCACAGCGCGGCCCTGACAGAGTCCAGTGCGTGGACACTGGCCAGGCGGGACTGCTGGCTCACCCGGGTGGAGGGGCCATCTGCCTGAGGGAAGGACCTGCAGCCGCAGGTTGCGCTGGTCAGCAGGATGGGCTGGTCAGCCGCAGGATGGGCTGGGAACCCCGCTACCTTGTCCCCTGGCTTGGTGGAAGGAGATGGCCAGGTTTTGTCTTGGGGAGGAGGGATCTTGAAGTGGCTTTGTAGCAGAGAGGGGAGCAAAGGAGTCCCCGGAGAGAGGCAGAGGTCATCATGCACCTTGGCCATGGGGCAGCTGTGCACACTTGGGTGCATCCACCACCTTCTCTGAGCCTGTTTCTTCATCCCTAAAATGGGAATAGCATTGATTGGAGGAGCAAGTGCAGGGGGTTCCTTGTGAACAGTGTGGAAAGACCGCCATGGTCACCGTCGCTGTCATCGTCATTGTTGYGAGCTTGTTTATCACCAGGGGATACAGTAGCTTTGTGCTCCCATCTCGAGCGCAATTCCTCAAACTTTCAGAGAAAAAATAAATCTGTCCCCAGTCCCTCTCTCTGTCACAACTCTCCTCTCCCCAGGCAGGTGAGGGGCAGGTGTCTCAGGAGGGCGGGTTGGAGAGGGCAGTCCCTGTCCCAAGCTGCTGAGACAGGTACAGGGGCAAGGGGAAAGTCTGGGCTCAGTTTCAACTGCCGTAGTGACAAAGTCATTTGCTCAAGGCCACCTAGGTCTCGGTGGCTGGGCTCGGAGTGCCCAGATCCATTCCTCAAAGACAGCGTGGCCAAACCCCATGAATCCCAGAGACGGCAGCCAGCGGTGACCACAGCCCTGAAAACAGAGCCGCTGTCACCTGGACATCTCACCAGGCGCCTCTAGGGCAGGGCCTGAGAGCCACCTCCCTCCACCACCAGGAGCCACAGCAGCCACTGATGGACCTGGGTCTGCAAAGGGCTGAGGAACCTAGAGAGCCCGGGGACAGTGGTTCCCACCCAGGGGTGACACAGGCCTGGGGGCCCTGGGACAAACCCAGAGACATCTCTGCATCCTCAGTTGTCCTGAAATGAGTGAGTGTCCCCCTCCCCGAGGAGAGCCCAGGGCTGCTGTGTCCAWCCAGGACTTTAGGGCTTCCGAGTTCATGTCACCATGGCCTGCCACTTGGGTCTGACCAGAACCCCACACCTGGGATATCTGATGGGGTCGCCATCTACACTGCTCTGGCCTGAATGTGGATCCCCACGTCTCATTCACACGCTGAGATGCTGTCATCGTGATTGGTCTCAGGGTGGCAGTAAGCTCTGGGGCCTTTGAAAGGTTGTTGGGGATTCAAGTCCTCATGATCCAAGCCTGGGAGGATCCCAGAGGAGAAGTCCCGAGGCCACCCTGCAGAAAGAGCCAGAGGGACGGGGGTTATGGCTTCAGTCATCTCTGGAAAAAGGCCTCGTGGTGTTACGGTCCTGAGCTGGGGACGCAGCTGCTGGCCGTGCTGTGGGCTGTCAGCGTCCACTAGTGAGCCGCACCTGCTCACGGGAGACACGGGGTAGTTTGGGTTGGGGACGACTTCCGTCAAGGCCAGGGTCAGTACTCACAGGTCTTTCATCCAAACCTGGCTGTCCCTGCTCACACGCAGGACAACGTCCTCACAGAACCCTCCTTACCTTCCGGGTGATAAGGCTGAGCTGCTGGTGCTTTGGGGGAGATCCCAGTCCCAGGCTGAAGGACTGAGACCTGGGGAAGGAAAGAGACTGGTGTAGGTCCTGGAGGGCCAAGGGCTGGGACCCGGATGTCCTCTGATGTCCCAGGGCGGGAGACGACGTCGGCCCAGCTCAAGGAGAGAGAATTCTTCCTTCTGTTTGGCCTCCCGGACGGGACGGTGCTGCCCACGTGGGGACAGCACGTCTTCTCTGCTCCACCCTCAACTCAAAGGCCGATCTTGGCAGCCCTTTGCCAGTCACACTGACACCAAATGGTCACAGCCACCGATCCTCCAAACTTCTGATACCAGCCGGGTGGCCTACAATTCACTTCCATTCCCACAACCACCCGAGTAAGCAGAGCCCACAGGTTCAGGACTYGGTCCCACCACACAGCTCCTGTATCAGATGCCAGCCACAAATAGGGTCCCCGTGCTCCTCAGGGTGTGGCTCCCAGACAGCTTCAGCCTGGGGGCTGGCCCCTGTGGCCTGACTCTGCAGGCTCTGTCACTAGGAGAGAACAGGTCCCCACCCGCCGAGTCTGTGTCGCGGTCTCTTCCTCAGGCCTGGTGGATCCAGAGCTCTGTCCACTCCCCGAGGTGATCAGGGTGGTGGGTGGGGTGGTTCCTCAGGTGGCCATGCTGGGCTAGGTGACCTAGGGCCCCTCCGGTTACCTGAGGAGCACAGACTCCAGTGAAGACAGAGATGTGAATACCACTTGGGGAGCCACCTTGGAGACCAGAGGCAGATTTGCTTTTGTACATTGTATTGCACGGGGACACGGGGACACGGGGACYGCCTGGCTTTCTGTTTCTCAGGCCTCCTGCTCACGGTGGCCCCGGTGACACGTTGTAAGGAAGTGTGAGCTGCGTGCGGGCAGCGATGTCCCGACAGCCCAGCCTGCAGGAAGCCTGTGAGAGGCCACCGGCCCCATGACATCAGTCTGCAGCTGCACAACAGGCCTACCAAGAAGCGCAGCCCAGCTGTCGGGCGCGGTGGCGCGYGCCTCTGATCCCAGCGGATGGGGAGGCTGAGGCAGGAGGATCGAGGGTTCAAAGCCAGCCTCAACAAATGCGAGATTCACACTTCATGTCAGTCGCTAGGAGACTCAGCTCTTTTTCCCCAGGCCTCTCTCCAGCCTCAGGATGTCACAGAGGGACAGCCCCACCAGCAAAATGTGTCTCTGACTGTAACTTCTGAGCCCAGAGGTCAGGACTCATGACCTGGTGAGTTCCTGGTGGCACCCTCAGGGAGGTGGAGGCGCTTGATCTTTGTCCCAGCGGAAGGCAGATGGGACCCTTCCGGCCCAGCCCCCTTTCAGACCCATCTGATGATCTCTGTGACCTCAGGCCCACCCAGCTCCCTGAGCCTGACCTCTGTCCTCTCTTTCTCCATCACAGCTGACCCTGGGGATTCCCACCGGCCACCAAAACAACAAAAAAAATAAGGCTCTGTTGCTCCATGGCCTAAGCCTGTCCAGGGAGGGTRGGGATTTGGGTGAGGGGGGAATGGGCTCAGGATTCCCTACTCCTCAGCGCCTCCCTCACCCCCACCTGGTTCTCACGCTGTGCCCCCCCAGAACCCAGTGTTCTATGGCACAGCGACGAGTCCCCCAATCTAGGCACCTGGTTTTTGGGGGCGGGTCAACTACCRGGAATTGCACTCAGGGGCACTTGACCCCTGAGCCCCAACCCCAGCCCTATTTTGCATTTTATTGAGAGACAGGGTCTCCCTGAGTTGCTTAGCGCCTCTCTTTTGCTGAGGCTGGCTTTGAACTTGCCATCCTCCTGCCTCAGCCTCCCGAGCGGCTGGGATACAGACATGCGCCACTGTCCCCCACTAGGCACCTGTTTTGATCTCCCCTGAGCTTTGTGGTTGACAAGAGCATCCTGTAGCTTCGTGGTTTACTAAAGGTAAGGATGTTAGAGTAGGGCCGAGCGCATTCTCCTCCCCTGGGACCCCCGTCGGCCTCCACATACTGGACGGGCACAGAGGCTGCGTCTGGGGTCTGTAGAGAGGCAGCTGCTGGGTTCTGGGACATTGGACCTTCCTGTAGCGACTTGCCTGACCCTCACGGAACAGAAGGGGAAACTGAGGCTTGGGGAAGGGAGGGGACTCTGCCAAGAAGGCACCGTTGGCAGGTAGGGCTTGATGGCTCCCTGCAACCCGGGGAGAAGGCCCTCTCCCCGAACCCCAGCTTTCCCTCCTGGGCACAAGCTGGGGGTGGCAGCCCGGCCCTGCTCTCAGCTGCCTTTTCAGGTATGGGGGTGCAGAGGTGGAGAAATGGATGGGCCTGGGGTCTCTCGGAGTCAGAAAGCCTGGGAGCCTCCCTCCCAGCTAAGCAGCCTTCCTGTCACCGCAGTCTGTCCCCGTGACGGGGGGACTCATTTCCTCGGGAGCCGGCCCAGGCTATTTTCGGACAATTGTTGGAAAGCACAGCCCAGCTCGGCCAGAGGCTGCTCCCTGGGCTTCCGCTCACCACCAGGTTTGCCCAGGGGAGGAGGCTCACTGCCCGTCGGGTCTCAGATATCAGCCACAGAGGCCTCTCAGGATGGCTGCCCCTGGGGAAGCCGTGGTCTCCCCSATCCCCTGAGCTGCCCACAGGTTCCCTGCAGACTTTCGTGAATCTCTGGGCAGGGAAGTTCTTCTCCTTCTCCTTCTTTTTTCAACACCAGGGATGGTACCCACTAAGAGACCTCTCCAGCCCTTTGGATTTGATTTTGAGACAGGGTCTCACGAGGTTGCCCAGGCTGGCCTTGAACTTGGGATCCTCCTGCCTCCGCCTCCCGAGGAGCTGGCATTACGGGTGTGCACCGGCAGGCCCRTGTAGGCTTGGGAATGTTCTCTAGCAGGGGACATTCTGCCCAGGCAGCTTCTTGCGGAGGCTTCTTGGCAAGCCCAGGAGGGCAGGCCCCCTGTGTGTCCATCTGCCAGGTAGGTAAACCGAGGCTCATCGCATCACACAGCCAATACAGGGTGAGCCAGAACCCAGCCCCAGATATGCCAGGGCCTGGCGCTCCGTGTGGCCTGGCCCCCAAGTCCAGCCCTCTCCTGTTGGGTCCTGGTGCTGGGAGCCACGGGAAGAGGCCCATGCTGCACCCTCAGAGTCCCCACCGTCTGTGGTGGCCGCTGTGCCCGACGGGGAGAATCCTCCTGGGGCTTCACACTCTGAACCTGGCTCGGCTTGCCCGGTGCCTGTGGGAGCATGAAGTGGAGGTTCGCCCCGCCGGCTTTGGGGGGGTCGCTCGTTACCCAGCAGCCAGTGGGAGCAGCTGCGTCATGGGAACTGGAGGCACCAGGCCCTGGAGCATCCTGTGGCCGACAGTGGGTTCTTGAGGCAGAGCCTGGGGCCTGGTGGCGCTCATGCACTTGGAGGAGGGTGCCCAGGACAGTGCCAGGAGAGCGAGAGGTCAGGATTCAGGGTTTGTGCTGGGAAYCCTGCTGAGACTGGAGGCCCAGAGTGTGGTGTGGACAGGGGCGGATCTGCTTCCGCAGGAGCTACTCCAACTTACCTGGGGGAGTGGGGGGGGCGTCCTGCAGAGGCCACTGGAGAGGGGAGGCAGAAGGGTGAGGGCTGAGGAGGTGGCCCCAGGACAGGGCAGTGGCCCTGACACAGGAGCTGCAGTTGGCCACGCCCCAGGTCCCCAGCAGAGACCTCCTGGCCTCCTTCCTCTTCCTCAGTCACACCTACTGTCCCCTGACTCCCAGCAGCCGGGYCACCAGGTGGTTGGCAGGACTAGGTGGGCCTCTGCTCCTGCCAGTTAAGCCAGTCCTTCATGCAATCTGTGGCACAGGTGTGCAGCCCCTGGCGGCTGGTGGCAGGGAGGCAGGACAGAAAGGAGTCCCAAGAGATACAGCCTTTTTTGGTCCCTTGTCACTGATCCCTAAACGACACAGTAGGATAGCTCTCTCTTAGCGTTGGCATTAAAAGGAATCCAGAGACGACTTGAAGAACAAGGGAAGCCGGGTGCCGTGGTGCGCGCCTGCGATCCCAGCCGGTTAGGAGGCTGAGGCAGGAGGACCACGAGTTCAAAGCCAGCCTCTGCAGCTTAGCGAGAACTTGTCTCAAAGCAAAAATAAGTAAGTAAATAAATAAGGACCGGGGACGTGGCTCAGAGGTTGAGTGTCGTCCTTGGGTTCAATCCCTGGCACCAAAAAATAAATAAATAAAGTAAAAAATAGAACAGAGAGGAGGGGGGGTGGGTAAGTCCTCTGCAATATGCCACGCCACTCTGCAGGAGGGGACACCAGAGTGCCTCAGAATTTGGTGTCCTCGGGTCCTGGAACCAAACCCTATGGATACCCAAGGGCACCTGTAAGGGCATTTCAGGGGCCAGCGAGTGTCACAAAGAAAGACACAGAGGTGACACCCGGTTCAGTGGGGGTTGGGCATCGGTGGCAGGGGGGGAAGGAGGACACGGTTTGCAGAGGCGAAGGGGAGACCATGGGACATGGCAGGTGCCAGCCCCCCCCAGCAGAGCYGGAAACAGGAAGAGGGGGCTGGAGTGGGGCCCGGAGGGAGCCAGTTGGTCACCCAGACCTGGTCCTTGGCGTGGAGTGGCAGTGGGTCAATGGTGTCCCCCGAATATCCGTCCACCCAACCTCCAAACGGGAGCTTACTGGAAACTGGGTCCTCACCGATGAAGGGCAGGATCTTGAGATGAGACCATCCTGGGTTCAGGTGGCCCTGGAGCCACTGGGCAGGAGTCCTTGTAGGAGACACAGAGAGAGGACCGTGGGTGTGTGGACGGAGGCTGAGACGGTGAGGTGGTCCCCACCAAGGAGTCCCCAGAGCTGGAGGGGCAGGAAGGACCGGCCTCTGGAGTCTCCTAGGGCCTGTCCACACCTCGAGGTTGGACTCCTGGTCTCCAGAACTGCCAGAGAAGAAATCTCTGTGGCTTCAGGCCATCAGGTTTGTGGTGACTTGTCACAGAAGCCACAGGAAATGGGTACAGAACACTGCTTTGACTTCCAGGGGAGGGGGCGGGGGGGGCGGGGGACAATCTCCTGGACACCTTTTTTGCGGGGTGAGCTGCTGAGGACCTGCAGGCCGCAGAGATGGTGGTGAGAAGCCCTCGGGGACCCGGGGCCTACTTCGACATGGCGTCCCTTAGGAAGCTGTTAGATTGACCAGATGCGGAAGAGAGGACAGGGAAGAACTCAAACCTAAGGAGAAGCTCCMTGAGCACGGGAATCCCAGTGGCTCGGGAGGCTCAGGCAGGAGGATCGCGAGTTCAAAGCCAGCCTCAGCCATTGAGTGAGGCCCTAAGCAACTTAAGGAAGCCCKGTCTCTAAATAAAATTCAAAAAGGGCTGGGGAGGTGGCTCCGTGGTGACGCACCCCCTGGGTTCAATACAAAAAAAAAAAAAAAAAGCGCACAGGATTTGAAGGCCAAATTTGGAGACTGCTCACCAAAGACCTGCGGAAGGTGGAAGAGCATGTGATCCTGTGTCATGAGACACCCCTGCAGGCACAGGACATGCATTCCGTCCCTCCCGCCAGTCCCATCCTCGGGTGGATGATGTGGCCATCACTGCGAGGGAACCCCGCACAGCAAAGAGAGAGGGAGAGCTGGGCGCAGTGGAGCACACCTGTAATCCCAGTAGCTCTGGAGGCTGAGGCAGGAGGATGGGAAGTTCGAGGCCAGCCTCAGCAACTTTGCAAGACCCTAAGCAACTCAGTGAGACCGTGACTTAAAATAAAAAATAAAAAGGGGGGCTGGGGTGATGGCTCTGTGGTAGAGCGCTTGCCTAGCATGAGTGAGGCACTGGGTTCGATCCTCAGCACCGCATAAATGTCAAACAAAGACATTGTGTCCACCTAAAACTAAAAAAAATAAAAAATAAAAATAAAATAAAATAAAAAGGGCTGGAGCTGGGCGTGGTGGCGCACACCTGTAATCCCAGCAGTTTGGGAGGTTGAGGCAGGAGGATCAAAAGTATGAGGCTAGCTTCAGCCACTTATCAAGACCCTAAACAAAAAGACCTGAACAAAAAGGGCTGGGGGTGTGGCTCAGTGGCTAAGCGTCCCTGGGTTCCATCCCTGGTAGCACTGCCACCAGCCCCCCTCCCCCGCCCCCCCCCAAAAATTCCATCTTCCAAATCCCTGCACACATACAATGAGACCGGCTGGCCCCGGGGGCCATCTCCACTCCCAGATTCTGTGGCACCTGTCGGTCTCCATTCTCAGCAGAAGGGATTTGCTCTTGGTTTAGGGGTGAGCTCCCAGGGACAGCCAGAGCTGCGGGCCACCTTCACCCTCAGCCCTCAGAGGTGGGGGAACGCACACCTGTGGTTGTTGGTGTGTGTAGAATGTGCTGGAAGGGGCGAGCTAAGGAGAGGCAGGAGCCAACTCTGGGCAGGACACTGGCTCCGGGGGGTCAGAGGTGCAAGGGGGACTATTTTTATTTATTTATTTTTTTGGTAGCTGTAGATGGACAGGTGCCTTGATTTTTATTTGTTTATTTTTGTGTGGTGCTGAGGATGGAACCCAGTGCCTCACGCATGCCAGGCCAGCGCTTAGCCACGGAGCCAGCCCCTGCCCCGTCCCTCTTTAATCTTTGGATCCTTTAGGGTTTTGCCACTGTGGGGTTTTGCCTATTAAAATAAATGGAGATCTTCAGTGAAAAAACGGATCCTCCCTAGGGCTGGGGCTGGGGCTCCSTGGTGGAGCACTGGCCTGGCATGTGTGAGGCACTGGGTTCGAGTCTCAGTGTTACCACTGTTGACCGGGGACGAGTCCTTACTTCCCCAATGTTGAAGAATAACACCAGAGAAGCACGCCGAGGCAAGGTCAGAGTAGAAATTAGAAGTTTACTAAAGGACAGCAGAAAAGACTTCTCCCGGAGGAAGAAGGGGACCCAAGAGGTGGAATCCGTGCAAGTGCGGTTGTCTCTCTCTCCATTTTATAGTTTTCRGTGATGGAATGTAGGTGGGAAGGCCCGAGGGGTGGGACACAGGTGGGCCGAAGCGGTAATCAGCRTCTTCAAGTTTGCTGGTCATTAACATTTCTTTGGGATGGGCTATCTTCAGATCTGCTGGGGGCTGTTTCCTGGGCTTCATTAACATCCCGAGAGTTGCTCTACTTTTCCAGGAATTCATTCTCCACATGGCCTCCATTTTAGATTTCACTCGATATTGGACCCGATTTACCTCACTACACTGACTACTTAACTTTAAATCTGGCTTCATCAGCACTGCATATAAATAAAGGTCCATTGACAACTAAAAAAAAATATTTTAAAAGAAGTGGGGCTGGGGATATAGCTCAGTTGGTAGAGTGCCTGCCTCACACGCACAAGGCCCTGGGTTCCATCCCCAGCACCACACACACACACTCACACACACACACACACTCACACATTGAATCCTCCCTCCTCTGCCGGGTACCCAGCTGCCTGCTTGGAGTGGGTGGGGCGTGGTAGGTGGGGCTGGTGGCATTATCTATCACAGGGCACTCAGGACTGGGACATTGACCCCATGGATCGACCTGGAGCTTCACACTGCCCCAGTGGCTGGGTTCCTTTGCCTGGACCCAGACATTCCCCCAACAGGTGGACAATCTGGTTCTGTCCTGCGGGCAGCCTGCAGGCGGAAGGCCAGTGTAGGCAGCACCTAGGCAGAGGGAGACCAGGTGGCCGGCTGGTTACAGAGAAACGCAGTTGGTGCCCAGTCAGTGGAAAAGCAGTGATCTGACTCCTGCTGCCACCCTCCCTAGCTGTGTCCCTGAGCGTGTCACTTAACATATCAGCTTCTTTGGCAAGAATAAAGCGTCAGCCCGCAAGGCTCGGCATCAGCCATCCCTGCCTCCAGAGGGCGCTACAGATTTTGCGCACTCGCCGTGGGCACTGGCTCCCTCTCCTTCCCTTCCGGTCGCCGTGCTATTTTGTTTCCGGTTTTCCCGGAAGGTTGGTTTCTGGTTCCGGAGCGGCAGTGGCGGCGGGGAGCCCGAGTGGTGGGCTGTAAGCCACAGGTCGCGACTCTGGGCGGCCTTGCRGGCCGGCGGCGCCTGCGGCGTGAGGGGCGACGACGAGCGACCCAGCGACTTCCAGCCGAAAGGAGCGAGGGCGGCGTGATGAACCGGGCCAAGCCCACCACCGTGCGGCGGCCCAGCGCCGCGGCCAAGCCCTCAGGTGCGTCCCCTCCGCGGCCAGGGGGCGGGGGTCCGGGTCTCCGCGGGCCTCGGTGGGCGACTTCCCGGGGACGCGTTGGGTCGGCGAGCCCGCGGCGTGCAGAGGCACAGGCCCTGGGACCTGACGGCCACCGTGGCCGGGTTGCCGCGCCTCAGTCCCTGTTGCAGTGACAGGGGGAAGCCGGACGTGTGGCTGGCCCTGGGACTGTCACCGTGGCCGCCCACGCCTGCCAGTCTCGGCTCTGCTGCGCCAGCGGAGGACCTGGGGGCCGGCCTCCCCGCGCACCTTGGCTGACCGTCGCGCCTTTCCCTCCCCTCCCCGCAGGCCACCCGCCGCCCGGAGACTTCATCGCTCTGGGCTCCAAGGGTCAGGCCAGCGAGGCCAAAGCCGCGTCCACCCTGCTGAAGCCCGCGCCGTCCGGCCTGCCCTCGGAGCGCAAGCGGGACGCGGCGGCGGCTCTGTCGGGCGCCTCGGCGCTGACCGGCCTCACCAAGCGCCCCAAGCTGTCCTCCACGCCCCCGCTGAGCGCCCTGGGGCGCCTGGCCGAGGCCGCGGTGGCGGAAAAGCGCGCCATCTCTCCTTCCATTAAAGAGCCATCGGTGGTGCCAATTGAAGGTAAGGCCAGGCGACAGGCTTCTGCAGAGTGATTCTCCAGGTGTCCAGGGAAGGCCACCTCCAGACGTGGCATCGTCCATACCGCAGGGTCCTCTGGAGACGCACCAGGCAGCCACCCCGGAGGACCTAGCTCACTGTGGGGACCCCTGGATCACTGTGGGGACCCCTGGCTCCCTTTGGACTTGTTCTTCAGAGCAGCTCCTGCGGGGGCAGTCTGCACCTGTGGGAACTGGCTCTTTCCTTGACCTTCTGACAGCTGTTGAACATTCTTTGTGACAGGCCCTGTCCTGAGCCCTGGTAGGGGGAGGTGGACCGTAGGTAGTGACAGTCCAGGCAGCCTTCTGGCTCCTGTGACCTGGGAGCCCTTGATCTGCCCTCTGCTGGCCTTTTCTCCAGCTGCAGACAGGGGAGAGCCTGTCCCTCCCTTTGTCCAGCAGAAAGGCAGCAGACGGCATCCCTGAAGACAGAAGTCAGTGAGGACTTCACCCAGGCCTTTGCCCTCACGGGCACCTCTAACCTGGTTCACATCTAACATCACCCCGCTTTTCTGCGTCACTTTCCCAGTGATCTTTTTTTTGCGGGGGCGGGGGCTGTTACTAGGGATTGAACTCAGGGGCCCTGACCACTGAGCCACATCCCCAGCCCTGTTTTGTATTCTATTTAGAGACAGGGTCTCACTGAGTTGCTTAGTGCCTCACCGTTGCTGAGGCTGGCTTTGAACTCGCAATTCTCCTGCCTCAGCCTCCCAAGCAGCTGGGATGACAGGCATGTACCACAGCACCGGCTCCCCCAGGGGTAATTTTTATTGGCTCTGTAGAGAAGAGCTGCGAACACCAGACCAATCCACATCACTGAGCACGTAGCAGCCCATGGCTGACCTTGCTCTCTGTGTGTTTTTGTTCCTGTTGGGGACCTTTTTATCTTTCTTTCCTATGTTTTTTTTTTTTTTTTTCCATGTTGGTATAGAGTATTGAACCTGGGTGTGCTCTACTGCTTGAACTACATCCCCAGCCCTTTTTTAAAATATTACTTTGAGACAGGGTCTCATTAAGTTGCTTAGGTTGACCTCGAATTTGTGATCCTCCTGCCTCAGCCTCCTGAGTTGCTGGGATTATAGGTGTGCRCCACTGTGCCTGGCTGGAGCATTTGTTTAGTGTKTTTTTGTAGATTTTAAAAAGAACAAGTGTCCTATTACTGTAGTGATGACAGTTTTGTTACAGCTCAGCCATCATTTACTGTTGGTGTTGTGTGTAAGGTCCTGAGGGTTAGTGGTCTGTGGCCTTTGCCCTTAGGGGGCTTAGAGGCTCCAAGGGAGTTCTGAGGAGGAGCCAGCTTGCTACAGTGTGAGGGAGCCCCTAGCAGGTCCTGGGGGAGGGTCGATTGAAATGGAGGGTGTGAGCTCTGCAGAGCAGAGAGTGGAGCTGCACCAGGGAGCAGGGCTGGGCTGGTGTGGCTGGTGTGGCTGTCACACAATGGTGAGAGCCCAGATGACATTGTGGGTGGTGTCTGTGCAGGGCAGGTGGGGCCTAGAGTGGGTAGGCAGGATGACACTGGAGCTGTGGTGGGACAGGAGTGAGGCAGTTGCTTCAGACTCCAGCATGATGGGTGCGGTGAAGATGAGGTGGTAGCAGGTGGAGGCCCTGACTCGGCTGCAGGTCACTCTTGCCAGCTGCGCTTTGTCATTAGCGTTGCCTGTGTGATTCTGGGGATTAAGTAAGATAACTGTGAAAAGCGTGTTCCACAGGATAAAGCTCTCTGTAGTATCAGATGGCGTCAGCAGTCCGCATCCAGCTATTTCTGGTTCTGTATTGGAGCCCCTCTAAGGCCAGACCCTGTAGGATCCGCAGACCATCTGTCTGTCCTGCCACGTGCTGATCAGGTGTCAGTAAATGTTGCTGCACCTGGATGTAGACAAGTGCTAAACCTGCAGCAGTACCTGCCTCTGGGGGGTTAAAAACATGATCCTAAAAACCCTTGGGCTGAAACCACAGTGAAAACCAGGGGACACCCAGAACTGACTGATAATGAGCGTCAGAGAAGAGAACATGGGCCAGAGCCCAGGCGCTCCTGAGAGGAACAGCCCAGGGACCCACGTGAGAGCATGCATGAGCCACAGGAGATGGGGAGGAGCCCCGGTGACAGGAGCAGTGGCCAGGGACACAGGAGGCCAGCTGAGTGAGGGTCAACACAGGCAGACCTGCGGGGAGGTGGGGTGGGGTGCAGCAAGGACTGTGGGAAGGAACCCGAGGTGGAGCCACTATCAAGGGAAGAGCTAGGCCAGGCACAGTGGAAGCCAGTAAGCTCAGGGTTCTGGAGGCTGAGACCGGGATCAAAAGATCGAGGCCGGCCTCAACAAGTTAGACCCTTGCAACTTAGCAAGAACTTGTCTTTGTTTAATTTAATTTTATTTTTTTGGTAACGGGGATTGAAGCCAGGGATGCTTAGCCACCGAGCCGTCTCCCCAGCCGTTTCTATATTTTACGTAGAGACAGAGTCTTGCTAAATTGCTCAGGGCCTTGCTGAAGTGCTGAGGCTGGCTTTGAACTGGTGATCCTTCTTATCAGCCTCTCGAGCTGCTGGGATTACAGGTGTATACCACCGTTCTGGTCCCCCCAAAAAGGAGAGAGAAGAGCCAGGCTGCAAAGCCATTAATTTGTAGAAAAACTATCAACATGTCTGGTGAGCAGAGACTGCAGCCGCGTGGGGCACTGTGGATGGAGGCCTGCAGCAACTTTGGGTCCCAACCTGAGCCTTGCTGTGTGGCTTTGATTGGCTGACAGGACCTCCGCCCTGCGCCCTCAGGACGGCTGTTGTACCAAGGTGGGGAGCTGTTCAGAAAGGATAGGGCTCCGAGCTGACCGTCTACTGGACTTTGATGCTGTGCCGGGTCCCTGTGGCTCTGAGGGTGACTTCTGCCCCTGGCCACCTGCTCTAACCAGACCCTCCGACTGTCCAGTGCTGCCCACAGTGCTGCTGGATGAGATCGAAGCTGCCGAGCTGGAGGGCAACGATGACCGGATCGAGGGGGTGCTGTGTGGGGCAGTAAAGCAGCTGAAGGTGACGCGTGCCAAGCCCGATAGCACCCTGTACCTGAGCCTCATGTACCTGGCCAAGATCAAGCCCAACATCTTTGCCACTGAGGGCGTCATCGAGGTGAGGACTGGCTGGCATCTCCCTGGACCCCCATTGCCTCCACCTGGGCACTGAGGACTYGATGTGGGCACCAGAACCTGTGCCTCCTCTGAGGCCCAGGTGGGCACCCTGACCTGAGCCTCCCTGCAGGCCCTGTGCAGCCTTCTGCGGCGAGATGCCTCCATCAACTTCAAGGCCAAGGGGAACAGCCTGGTRTCTGTGCTGGCCTGTAACCTCCTCATGGCCGCCTATGAGGAGGATGAGAACTGGCCTGAAATCTTTGTCAAGGTCAGTCACCTTCACTGGGGTCTCAGAGAAGCTACTTTGGTGGTAGGGAGGCCTGGGAGGGAGCAGGGGAGGCCCAGCAGAGACGTGAGCAGGAGAGAAGCAAACGGAGGGAATTCCCTGGAAGAGGCGTGTCGGATGGCCCCGGGGGTCTCGCCACTGTCCCTCTTGCACTGAGAAGCCTTGTGAGGGCACCCACTGGGCAGCTGTGGGGCCTTCAGGGAAGCACACGTTAGCAGTGGGGGCAGGTGGGGCCCCGTGGCTGGCTGGGCCTGAGAGTGTGGTACTCTGCAGGTGTACATTGAAGATTCCCTGGGAGAGCGGATCTGGGTGGACAGCCCTCACTGCAGGACATTCGTGGACAACATCCAGACGGCATTTAACACCAGGATGCCCCCCAAGAGCATGCTGCTGCAGGGGGAGGTGGGGCGCAGCGGGGGAGACCTTGGGGCTGGTAAGAAACTCTGGGGCCTGTCAGGGACATGCACAGGGTGTCCCGCCCTGGGAGAGGGCTGAGGTCACCTCCCTCCATCTTCAGGCTTAACTTGGGTATTGGTGGGGAATGGGTAGAAAGTGGGCCTCATGGGGCTGTCCATGGTCCATGCAGGGAGCAGCCCGCACCCCTCCCTCACGGAGGAGGAGGACAGCCAGACAGAGCTGCTGATAGCCGAGGAGAAGCTGAGCCCTGAGCAAGAGGGTCAGCTCATGCCCAGGTAGGTGGCTGCATGGCCGGGCCTTCCAAGTGAGGTGGGAGGCATGTGGGGTAGGTGTCCAGAGGATGGCTTCCTCCTGGCTTTCTTCCCCCCTCTGGCCTAGGTACGATGACCTCGCAGAGAGCGTGGAGGAGTATGTCCTCGACATGCTGCGGGACCAGCTCAATCGGCGCCAGCCCATCGACAACGTCTCCAGGAACCTCCTGCGGCTGCTCACCTCCACCTGCGGCTACAAGGAGGTGCGGCTGCTGACTGTGCAGCGGCTGGAGATGTGGCTGCAGAACCCGAAGGTGGGCACTGTGTGAGGCGTGTTCCAGGGCAGACCCATGTGGCGGTGCCTTCCCGGGGACTCCCTTCAGCTGTTGCTGTGCACCCAACGGTTCTTCCCCGGCCTCCTCGCAGCTGACCAGGCCAGCCCAGGACCTGCTGATGTCCGTCTGCATGAACTGCAACACGCATGGCCCAGAGGACATGGATGTCATTTCTCACCTGATCAAGATCCGCCTCAAGCCCAAAGTTCTCTTGAACCACTACATGCTCTGCCTCAGGTGTGTGCGGTGGGCCGGTGGAAGGTGATGGGGCAGGTGGGTGGTCTGGCCCGTGCCCCTTTCCACGGACTTGGCGCTTGTGTCCAGGGAGTTGCTGAATGCCCACAAGGACAACCTGGGCACCACCATCAAGTTTGTGATCTTCAACGAGCTGTCTAACGCCCGCAACCCCAACAACATGCAGATCCTCTACACAGTACTGCAGCACAGCGCCGAGCTGGCACCCAAGGTAGGAGGCTGGCTGCCTCTGCTCCATCCGGCCTTGAGCTGGACTCTACTTCTGTCCACGGGCTGTGGGGCTCCAGCCTGGAGAGGACCCCTCCACGGCCTGTCTTCTCATGTGCTTGGATGAGGGTGGGTGGTTTGGTGGTGCGGTGTGGGAACAGGCTCCCGGCTCTGGGAGTGGGCAGGAGCTGTTCTGATTTGTTTGGTTCCATGGTGCTCAGGGCCCACTTACATCATGCAGGTACCCCACCACTGGGCTACACCCTCAGCCATTTTTTTTTTAAATTTGAGACGAGGTCTGGCTGAGTTACCCATGCCGGCTTCCAATTCGCTGTCCTCCTCCTTTAGCCTCCTGAATTGCTGGGATTACAGTCACGTGCCACATGCCTGGCTTGAGTTTTTAGATCTCATTGAGTTTGACTTCGATCTTTCCTTGTAACCTGAGATGTGATTTCTTTCCTTTTTTGGAGGGGGTGGGTACCAGTGATTGAACTCGGGGGCTCTTGCTTAACCACAGAGCCCCATCCCCAGCCCTATTTTGTGTTTCATTTAGAGACAGGGTCTCACAGAGTTGCATAGCGCCTCACTTTTACTGAGGCTGGCTTTGAACTCACAATCTTCCTGCCTCAGCCTCCCGAGTCACTGGGATTACAGGTGTGCACCACCATGCCCAGGAAAATGTGATTTCTTGAAGGAGCAGCACTGAGTTCTTAAAAAGCCACCAAAGTTTCTAGACCAAGATCCAGGCCAAACTTCCTCAGCAGAGGTTTTCCCCAGTTCAGCGGGAGTCTGAGTAGCCCTGTGGTGCTGCCTGGAGTCCTGGCTGTGGGCTTCCTGGTTCAGTGTCTCCTGGGCAGGGAAACCCAGAAGAGTGCTCTTGTGGTTTGCTCAGAGTCAGGCTTTTAAGCAGCTTGGTTGTGTGTTGGCCTCCTGTTATTTCTGATGACCAGCTCTTGGTCATCTTTGCAGCCCCGCATGAGGAGAAAAGCGAGGTGGCTCATTCAGACCTGCACTGGGGTCTTGGTTTCTTTGTTGAGGTGGGAGGAGGCTCGGGGAGCTTCACTCCTGTGGCTTTGCTGTCATCTGTTAACTACTCCACCCCTCAGTTGACAAGCTTTGGCTTCTGAGAGCCAGGTGCCAGGGATGCGGTCCCTGCACTCAGAGCTCAGCCATGGAGGGGAGACCCCCACGGCCCAGGGACAGGCCTGTGGGGTCTGCTGTAGGCCCTTCACATGTTGACCAGCCTGGTGGTGCCTCAGGGAGCCTGGACGTGTGTTCTCCTGGCTTTTTGCTGGGCTGAGAGGTGCTGATGGCAGGCTTGATAGAGGAGATAGGCTGGTGGCAAGGGTACCTGTCCTGGACGGCCACTGTTCACAGCACCTCACATGGCCTGTCTCTGGCCAGTTCCTGGCCATGGTGTTCCAGGACCTGCTGACCAACAAAGATGACTACCTCCGGGCCTCACGGGCCCTGCTCCGGGAAATCATCAAGCAGACGAAGCACGAGATCAACTTCCAGGCTTTCTGTCTTGGGCTMATGCAGGAGCGCAAGGAGCCCCAGTACCTGGACATGGAGTTCAAGGTGCCTCCCTTTCCAAATGGGTTTGCATGCTTCTCTTTCACTCTGGGTCACATTCAGCCATCTCTCCTCGTGGGTGTACCAGCAACCAGGCCAGTCTAGCACGCTGGCTGCAGGCAGTACACCAGTGGCACCAAGTCCCAGAGGGACGTTTGGCTCCATCTCACGTGGGGACTGAGAACGCGCTGACCATGTGCTGGAAGTCACCAGCCTTGGGCTGGGTGTGCCAGAGTTGTAGCTGGTGCCACCAGGGAAGCTGTGCGGCAGCATGAGCAGGGACAGGGCATTGCAGCCATTGGGGTGGGCAGTCTGAGGATGTGGGGGGCTCATGCTGGATAGGAGGAAGTAAGGCATAGGTCAGGGAGGATTCCAGGGCCCAGTTGCTGTGGCTGACCTTCCAGGGTCTGACCAGGCCTTGTTTAGTGGCTCTTAAGTCCCAAGACTTGCTCTTGCCAGGCCCTTTCTTAGCACAGCAGTCTCGGCTTGCTCTGGATCCACTGTCTTCAGCTACCTGTGTACGTCTGTCTGTCTGCTTGTGGGTGGTGTGGGGCTCTCGGGTGCAGGTCCTCCCAGGATACGAGCCCTGTGGTCCTGTGCTTGCAGGAGCGGTTTGTGGTTCACATCACGGATGTGCTGGCTGTGTCCATGATGCTGGGCATCACGGCTCAGGTGAAGGAAGCTGGCATTGCCTGGGACAAAGGAGAGAAGAGGAGTAAGGCTGTGGGCAGGCTTGGCCCTGCTCAGTCAGAGGTCTCGGGCCAGGCGCTGAGGCTGTCCCTTGAAAGGCCCAGCAGAGGGTGGGGAGGGAGGGTTGTTGTCATGGCCCTTGGAGGAGGCTGAGGGAGCTTGTGGAAGTGGCTGTCCCTCTGTCCTGCCTGTCTGGACTGGGATGACCTGCCCCTGCACTGCTGTGCCACATCGTCTGTACACCCCAGTTCTGGGACCACAGCTGGAACTTCCAGCCAAAGACAGGAAGGGAAGGAGGGAGAGGGCCAGTGAGCTGGTTTGCTGGAGGGCCTGGCCATAGGGGCCCGAAGCAGGTGACTGAATGAGACTGAGCGAGGCTACAGTCCCGGGGTCTCTGGGCCCCTGGGTGGGTTGCTGGACTCCCTGGAGCATTATCTCAGCAGACAGCCGCCTCCTCTGTGCTCTCCAGGGTCCCTCCAGCCCTTAACTCCAGCCTCCCTCCTGGGACAGGCCTTGGGCTATACCCTGGGCGTGCTTGCTGYCCCCTGGGCCGCTGCACACACACCACACCACTAAACCTGTCCCTCTTAGACCTTGAAGTGCTGCGGGCATTCCAGAACCAGATTGCTGCAATCCAGCGCGACGCCGTCTGGTGGCTTCACACGGTCGTCCCTTCCATCAGTAAACTTGCCCCCAAGGACTACGTGCATTGGTACGGGCCCTGTGTTGTTGCGCAGCCACCTTCCCAGCAGCTGCTGACTCAGGGGCTTGCAGGAAAGGACCCTGTCCCCTCTGGATGTGACCACCAGCTGGCCCCAGTCTTTTCAAGAGCCAGACATGGTGGTGAACAGCAGCACTCCCTCAGCCAAGGAGGCAGGGTCCTGAGTGTGTTAGAGCTGGGCACATCCCTGGCTGGGGGAGGTGGGGGCCTATAAGCACTAGCGGGGGGGGGGGGGGGGGGGGGGGGGGGGGGGGGCGCACGTAGCCGGGAGCCACCTATCTGCTGGGATCCTGTAAACTGCTCCTGCATACAAGGAGAACCACGTGAGATAACTTCTGCTTCAACCAGTGGATGTGATTTAGAAAGCTTGAGGAGAGAGGAAGGGTCCCCACTCAGTGGCTGTGATGTGGCTGAGTCCTCTGGGCATCTCCAGGGGACAGCTTAGGAGCAGTCCCTGCACACTTTCCAGTCCATACCTTTTGATTGAGTTGAGCCTGCAGGGGACCCACTAGGTGGGGTGAGCGCCCTGGGCAGCTGCTTCCTGACTGACAGCCCTTCTCTGCCTCCGCAGCCTCCACAAGGTGCTGTTCACAGAACAACCGGAGACCTACTACAAGTGGGACAACTGGCCACCTGAAAGTGACCGCAAGTGAGCAAGCCTGCAGGGCGGGGGCTCTTGTGTGCTTCAGGCCTGAGGAGCTTCTGGGAGTTTGGCCGTCTGGGGCCCACTGTATGGAGCCGCTGTTTGTCCTTAGTGACCCCATCCCATCCACCCTGCAAACCACTGGTGTTTGCAGGCCCCCCCCCCTGCTCCTGAATAATGCTTTGCGTATCTAGACGGCTGTGTGCCAAGTTAAGAATCAGGACGGTTATTACTGAGGAACAGAGAGAATGAATGTCAGGAGTGACTAAAGTTTTCTTTCATACTCTTGATAAGTATATTACACTGTAAATGGCTTAATTTTGTCCCCTCTAGAGTTTGACATTTGGTTTTAGCATTGCCTCTAAGAGGAATAATAATAGTAAATGTGATTCAAAGTAAAATGTGTAATACACACCCACACACATACACATATAATACTTTGATAGTCATTGTATCTATTAGAAGGTGCATGTCGCGCTGATGGAGTGATCCTTACAATGTCTGAACAACTCTGCGTTCATTCCTATGGCTTTGTCTTCTTGGGGTTCCACCAGGGTCTGCACCCATGGTACCCCCAAACTCCTGCCTCTTGGACATTCTCTGGGATGTCCATAGACACCTTTCTCTGCACACACACACCCGTTCCCCACACTCACTCTTTGCCCTTGGGTGCTCCCAAACAGCCACAGCCACTGTCCTTCTTCACTCAGCTGTTCTGACTGTCCCCCTCCATGCTGCTGGTCACCCTGCATGCTCTGGACCATGCAGTGTGGGTGGCGGCCAAGGCCTTGGAGGAGGGTGGGTAGCTTCCTGTTCTCTTCTGTCCAGACAAGCCCGCCAGCGGCAGCTCCTGCCCTGCCAGGGCTGGGGAGGGTGGGCTGCTGCCCACTGGCCTGAGGCCTTGACGCCTGGCCTCTGCAGGTTTGGGCTGGGCCCCACTAAGCCCAGCGTCTCCCTCTGCTGCCCACAGCTTCTTCCTGCGCCTCTGCTCAGAGGTGCCCATCCTTGAGGACACGCTGATGCGCATCCTGGTCGTTGGGCTGTCCCGGGAGCTCCCGCTCGGCCCTGCAGACGCCATGGAGCTTGCTGACCACCTGGTGAAGCGGGCTGCAGCTGTGCAGGCGGATGGTAATGCCCCTTGGACTTTTCTGTGGTCTTTGTCCTGGGCCCCCACAGGCGACAGCCCCCACACTATACTCCTCCCCCACCCTGCAAGAGCCCGTGAAGGATGCCAGTGCACATCCCTGTGCCCTGCAGCAGCGAGTCTGCTCTGCCTGGGTTGCACACCCTCTGGGCAGGCTGCACTGCTGTCCAGGATAGTCCTGGCTCCCCAGGTCCAGCTGTGACGCCCTGACCCTCCCTTCCCCTCCTTGAGCCAGGCACCTTGTGTCCTGTCATGTGGTACCTGGGTCACCTCCCATCCCGCCCTCAACCCAGAGTAAGACCTGTCTTCTCACTCTGATGCCCCAAGGCTGAGTCCTTTGCCCGATGCCCAGAGCGTGAACCGAGTGGGCTTCTGGGTGTGGCTTGGGGTTTCAGATGTGGAAGTGCTGAAGGTGGAACGGATCCAGCTTATCGATGCCGTCCTGAATCTGTGCACCTACCACCACCCCGAGAACATCCAGCTCCCTCCTGGGTAAGAGCCGGAGCCCCCTCAGCCCAGCCCACCCAGGAAGCCTGTCCTCAAGACCTGCGGGGTGGGGTCACCTCGGTTTTCCCATTATTGCTGGGTGTGGGTGGTAAATTCTGTTATTCTCTTTAATGTCTCTTATGCTTGCTTTTTTTGTGTTAATGTGTGAATGCTTTATTTCTTAGACAGCAATGAGTTTGTGCTTTTTTAGTTTATTATTTTTCCTTTTTTGGTGGGGGGTACTGGGGATTGAACTCAGGGGCACTTGACCTCTGAGCCACATCCCCAGCCCTATTTTGTATTTTATTTAGAGATAGGGTCTCTCTCAGTCGCTTAGCACCTCACATGCTGAGGCTGGCTTTGAACTGTGATCCTTCTGTCTCAGCTTCCTGAGCTGCTGGGATTACAAGTGTGCACCACCATGTCTGGCTTAAATTTATTTTTTGACTGATCCATAAAAACTTGTCACTGTTTCTTCATGGTGAACATGCTTCACTTACTAGCAGCTTCGCAGAGACACAGTTCACATGCACTTCATGTGCTTAAAGAATTGATAAGTGTTTAGCATGTCCACAGGTTGTGCATCCTTTGCTGCAATCTAACTAGAACATTTTTGTCCCTCAGAGAAGCTGTCCCCCAGATTTCCTCCCAGCAACCAGCCATCTGCTCTCCTATCAGTTTCCTTTTGGGGTACTTCACGTAAATGGAATTGTATAATGTGTGGTTTTTTCCTTTTTTTTTTTTTTTTGTACTGGGGATTGAACCCCAGGGTGCTTAACCACATAGCCACATTCATAGCCCTTTTTACATTTTATTTAGAGACAGGGCCTTGCTGAGTTGCGTAGGGCCTCATTAATTGCTGAGGCTGATCTTGATCTTGAGATCCTCCTGCCTTAGACTCCGAGTGGCTGGGATTACAGGTGTGCACCACTGTGCCCAGACACTATATGCTTTCTGTGACTGATTTCCTTTACCCTTCAGCATAATGTTTTCAAGGTTCATGTATGTTGTAGCGTGCACTGGTACTTGGTATTTTCTATACATGACATACTATTGCATGGAGAGTACCACATTGTCCAGTCATGGGCTGGTGGACACTTGGATTGTATTCACTGTTTGGCTGCTGTGAGGATGCTAGGAGAACGTTAGTGAGCAGGTTTTTGTGTGACTGCATACCTGGCAGTGCACTTGCTGGTCACACGTTTGACTTGGTGGGGGAGCTGCCAGGCTTTTCCACGGCAGCTGCATCATGTGACATTCCCACCACCTCTGTGTGAGCACTCCAATTTTCCACTCTGGCCAACATGGCTGCCCGTCATTCTTTGCCATCCTGGTGGGTTTGAGTTGGCGTCTTACTGTTTTCATCTGTATTTTTCTGATCAGTGATGACACTAAACATCTTCTCATGTGTTTACGGGTTGTTTGTAGATCTTTGGAGGAAGGTCTATTCAAATCCTTTTCTGACTTTTTAATTGGCTGTTGAGTTTTAAGAGTTCTTTATCTGTTCTAGATTCTGGACCTTCATCAGGTCTGTGCTTTGCAAATATTTTCTCTGATTCTATGGCTTGTCCTTTCATTGTCCTCCAGCTTTGTTGTTTTTCTAGGTGGTTTTGGCTGTTCTGAGTCGTGACATTTCCATTTGATTTTTAAGATCAGCTCATCAGTTTCTGCCTAAAAAATAACAGTACTCAGTCTTCCCCTGCATGAACGTGGGGTTCCTGTTATCTAGGTCTTTAATTTCTGTCGATCATGTTCTGTAGCCCTCCTTAGATAAACCTTAAGTGTTTTTCTTGGAAGTTTGTGCCTAGGGATTTTCTTTTTCTTTTTTTTTTTTCCAGCCTATGACTGTGGACTTTTTCTCTCACTCTCTTTCTTGGACTGTGGTGTGTGTGCTCCATCATCATTGTTCCCATTACATGGGTGGGAAACTGAGGCTTAGATAAGTCCCAAGGCCCAGGGGCTCAGAGCTGCCGAGAGACAGTGGGCTTGGTCCTAGTGTGCCCTGCAGTGGGCTCTGAGTAGTGGCGTGTGCTTGGTCACAGGCCTGTGGTGTAGACAGGTCTGCTGGAGTATGAATTCCTGGAGGGGAGTTTTTGAGGCTCCACCATCAATGTCATCTAAAGCAGTGCCCAGCTGGTTGGTCACAGCCTGCTGTGCCGGGGGTGCCCTGGTGTGGCCAGTTCTCTTCTCTGGGCTCAGGCAGCTAAGCCGCTCTGACGCCATCCTCCTTCCAGGTATCAGCCCCCGAACCTGGCCATCTCCACGCTCTACTGGAAGGCATGGCCCCTGCTGCTGGTTGTGGCTGCATTCAACCCGGAGAATATCGGTGAGCTGTCCTGGCTGTGGGCAGACCTGGCTGCGGGTGGGCAGCTCTTCCTTTGGGGCATCTGTGTTGGGATTTGGGCTAGAGCCCTGTGAGGGACTAGAGGAGGAGCAGAGATGGCCACACCTGTGTCCTTGCCCATAGGCCTGGCTGCCTGGGAGGAGTACCCCACCCTGAAGATGCTCATGGAGATGGTGATGACCAAGTGAGTGGGCTTATCTTGCTGGGGGAGGGCAAGCAGAGGAGCAGGGCCTGGACTCCAGAGCTGCACGGCCTTGCCCCAGCTTGCTGCACCCGCTAGTGATTCCCTGAACTCCAAGTCCAAGTCTGTTGCGCGTTAGTCTCTTCCTTACTGGGGGTGGGGAGGGATGGGGTGGCAGTGTGGCTCTGGAGCCAGGCAGCTTCCGGGAAGCCTTCATGGAGGGTGGCAGGGCCCTGCCTGGCACATTCTGGGCAGCATGTGTTCTGCCAGTGGGAGCAGAGAGCGGTCAGACCAGTGGACAGTGACTGGGAAGGACGCAGATTGGAGGCAGGGACTGGGCATACCAGGTGAGTTTTGGCAGCTGTAGCGTGGCTGTGCTTGGCGTCAGCACAGGCATCCTCCTCCCTGGACAGTCAACACAGTGTCAGCAGGAGGGGCCGGCCACTGCACGGACTGTAGCTCGGTGTGAGTTGTGCCTTTATAGCCAAGGTGCCCAGACAGGCCAGGGTGAGGTATTTCTCATGCCAGGTGTCCAGTGTAGCCGGGTGAGGTGTATATTGTAAGGGCAGTTGTCCAGGCTGGGATGGAGCCTGACACTGTGGCATTGTGGGGACCTGGCACGTGTGTGTGTGTGTGTGTGTGTGTGTGTGTGTGTGTGTGTGTCTGTGTGTCTGTGGCACTGGAGGCACTATGGCGTGTGACTGGTGTTGAGGGAACCAGGCATTGTGGGAGTTAGCTTTGCGTGTCACTGCTGTGTGGAGGTAGGGTGTGTGTGCGCATGTTGCTGTGGCATGGGCACTGGGTGTGTGGAGCTGTGGCAGCTTAGGAACCTGGGTGTATGTGTTGGGGGGGACTCAGGTGTACGTGTTTTATATGGTGGGGGCTGGGTGTGCGTGGCTATGATTTTGTAGGGGCTGGTTGTCTGTGGCCTGTAGGGCTAGATTCTGGCTCTAGTGTCATGTGGACTGAATGTTTGTGGCCATGGCCTTGGGCAGCTGGGTGTCTCTGGCCTTGCTGTGGCCGGGGCTGGGTGTGTGTGTGACTGGAGTGGTGGGGACTGGGGGTGTGGTCTTAAGCTGGAAGGCGAGCTTCTCGTCTTCTGCTGAAACTGAGCGGTAGACGGAAGGTGGGGAGTGGTGAGGGGTGGGGAGTAGATCGAGCTCAGGAGGAGATACACAGGAAGATGGATTTTGAAACATGAAAGGAGATGAACAGTTAGTGCTTCCCCAAAAGCTGTGCTTGCCTCTGGAAGCAGGAAGTGCTCCCCCAACCTGAGATTCCCAGGGTCTTAGAATACCAGTCTGTTTGGTTCCTGGTATTGAACAAGGATCCTGGCATGGCAGGGCATGGCAGAGTAGGTGTCCTGGAAGAGACCATGGAATTCTGACATGGGCTAGACTTGGAGCTGAGATGGCTCTTGGGCTGCAGTGAAGTGGGGGGTGGGCTGCTGGGGCCTGTGGTTTCTCAGGTGCAGGTCTCGTGAGGGTCCACCCTGTGTGCACGCATGGTCTGGCAGAAGCGAGCCTGGCAGGGCAGGGCAGCAAGACCTCTCTTGATCCCCAGTAACTACTCCTACCCGCCGTGCACCCTGACGGATGAGGAAACCCGGACCGAGATGATTAACCGGGAGCTGCAGATCTCCCAGCGGGAGAAACAGGAGATCCTGGCATTTGAGGGGCACCTGGCCGCTGCGTCCACCAAGCAGACCATCACTGAGAGCAGCAGCCTCCTCCTGTCACAGCTCACAAGCCTGGATCCCCAGTAWGGCCCGCTCCCCACCCCTGTGTCCCAGGCCTGGCGTGGTCTGTTCTGCTGGGCAGGCGGGCAGCTTGGGTGGGAAGAGGCTGGAGGGCTGGTGGAGCCGACCGCACCACTGAAATGCCCCCTGCATCCATTCCTATGTCATAGGCTCCAGAGGGAGCCTGACCAGGGACAGCTGGGTTGAGGTGTCACAGCAGTCCCAGGGTCTCAGCTGCCCCCAGCAGTGGGACTGGGAGGCTGGGCGCTCCTTGCCTTACCTATCAGTGTTGCTGGGGACACGTTGTACATGTAGCATTCTGACACTCTTGTTCCTGTCACCTTCAGAGGGCCCCCTCGGAGGCCTCCTCCTCACATCCTGGACCAGGTGAAGGGTCTTAACCAGTCCCTGCGCCTCGGGCACCTCCTTTGTCGCAGCCGCAACCCAGACTTCCTCCTCAACATCATCCAGAGGCAGGTGAGTCTTACCCTGAGGAACAGGAGGCCCTGGAGGGAGGAGAGCTGGGTGGGTTTGGAAGATAGGCCTCAGTGGTACCTGGCAGTGACTGTCATGGCCGGAAGAGGGGAAGCAGGTGCATGTGGGATTCAGAGGCATGTGAATTCCAGGTGAGCAGATGGCACTGATTTCAGGTTGGAGCCGGCTGTGCCTCCTGGCAGGTCTGCCTGTGGCCCCAGGGGGCTGCTCTAGGAATTGGGGTGTTGGTGGGATAAGTGAAGGGGTTGCCCAAGCTTGGTCACGAAGGTGTTGAGTGGGCTGCTCTTGTCCACCCAGGCCTCCTCGCAGTCCATGCCCTGGCTGGCCGACCTGGTGCAGTCCAGCGAGGGCTCCCTGGACGTGCTGCCCGTGCAGTGCCTGTGTGAGTTCCTGCTGCACGACGCTGCCGACGACCCCGCCTCTGGGGAGGAGGAGGACGAGGGCGAGAGCAGGGAGCAGAAGGCCAAGAAGCGGCAGGTAGGTCCCTACCCACTGTGCCCCACTGAGGCTCTTCAGTCAGCCGGGTCCTCTGAGATGCCCTCTCGTCCCTCAGAGGCAGCAGAAGCAGCGACAGCTGTTGGGCCGCCTACAGGACCTGCTGCTGGGTCCAAAGGCTGATGAGCAGACCACATGTGAGGTGCTGGACTACTTCCTACGGCGTCTTGGCTCATCGCAGGTGGCTTCCAGGGTTCTGGCCATGAAGGTGAGAGCCAGGCCAGGGCCTCTGGTCTCCGCACAGGCTCTGTCACTGTCCTACTCTGGTCTTGATTCTCGTTACCCACCCTTTCTAGACCCTTTCCTGGTTGCATGTAGAAGGGACAGATGTCACCAGCACAGTTTGGAAGAACCATGGGGCCTCGGTTGCCTTCTGGTGTTCCTTCTCTGGGTGGTGGCATGGAGAACTCAGAGTGACTTAACAAACCACAGCTTCTTGTCTTTAAAAGGTATTGAGCTGGGGCTGGGGCGGAGCTCAGAGGCAGCGAGTGCCTAGCATGTGCAGGGCCCTGGATTCCGTCCCCAGCATCAGTATTTTTAAAAAGGTATTGAACAAAAGTGTTTTGAGCTGGTGCAGTGGTGCCCACCTGTAATCCCAGCTACTCAAGATGTTGAAGCAGCAGAATTGCAAGTTCAAGGTCAACATGGATGACTTATTGAGACCCTGTTTTAAAATTAAAAAAAAAAAAAAAGAAAAAAGGCTTTGAAGGAACCAGCTGGAGTTATTTTTCTTTCCTTAATCCTGACTGAGCCTGAAGTTCTGTGTTCTCTGTGTGGGGCTCTGAGGGACATGTGTGCTGCCTGAGAGTATCTGGGCCCACCAGGTGCTGGCACATGGTTTGACCCAGCTCTGTGTGTTCACAGGGCCTGTCGCTGGTACTCTCAGAGGGTGGTCTGCGGGACAAGGAGGAGAAGGATCCTCCCATGGAGGAGGACTCAGGGGAGGTGGATGCGCTGCAGGGCTACCAGTGGCTGCTGCGGGACTTGCCCAGGTTGCCCCTGTTTGACAGCGTCAGAACCACCACAGCCCTGGCACTGCAGCAGGTGAGGGCTGTGCCTTGGCAGTGGGCGGGCGAGGTCGGCAGCACTGCCCCAGGAGCTGGCTCACACACCTCCCTCCCCAGGCCATCCACATGGAGACCGACCCCCAAACTATCAGCGCCTACCTGATCTACCTGTCCCAGCACACGCCGGTGGAGGAGCAGGGTCCACATAGCGACCTGGCCCTGGTGAGAGGACGGGGCCAGAGGTGCCAAACTCTGGGTCTGAAGTGTCCACACCCAGCCTGTTCCCCATGGCCTGGTGCCACGTGGAGGCACTGAATGGCCTTTGTGGTTACCACAGCTATCTCAGTCCCCTGTAGTCCCTGCTCCCTCCATGGAGCATTTTTTTCCCAGACTGAGCAGGGCCTTGGTTGTGGGGGTGGGGCTGGAGCCAGGAGTTGCCTCCTGCTGTGCCAGGCTCTGGGGGTGGCTTGGTGGTTGGAGGACGACCTCACATACCACCCACTGAGGACTGTCAGAGCCCTTGGTGCCACCTGTGCCCTCCTTAAACCATTATCTCTTCTTGACTTTGCTTGTCCTAGTAAAGCAACCTAAGCACAGGGTCACAGGCCCGAGGCTTGGTGAGATGAGTGAATGAGCAGTGAGTAGGTGGCAGGGTCACTGGGACAGTGGATCTTCTGCTGCCAGGGTTCTTTGCAGGGGGCTTAAAAACCCAGACCTGGCCAGCCCAGTAGCCTCTGAGGCCTTTGTCCTCTGAGACCGGTCCAGTGTCTGGCTGCGTGGCCCACGGCCAGGCTTCTTGGCATTGTTGACAAGTACACAGAGCGTCTAGATGGGTCGTGACGGCCTTTTCCTTTTGGCCATGGAAAGTACGTGTCTCTGCTTCCATGGGTGGTGTCCTTGACCCATTCCTCCCTGCCCCTTCCTCTCCATGCTGTGGCAGACTGAGGGCCATAATGTCATTTTCAGGGCCAAGGCATCCTCTTTGAGTGCCATGCTCTTGTGGCTCTCCCTCCCCATTGCTGCGCTCTGTGTGCTGTGTCCCACTGTGGTGGAGTGAGGGCCTGTGGCACTGAGGGCTGCACTTCTTGCCATCACCAGCTGGTGCATCACTGAAGATGGCTGCAGTGCTCCTGGTGGGGCTCACGATGTGACTAGTGTCACTCAGTGATGTGGCCAGTTTATAAAAGCCTGCCCTTCCTCTGGCTGTTGGGTGGTGTGCAGGGAGAAAGGGAAAGGAGGTGGGACCTCTGATGGCTGTTGTCTTGCCAGGATGTGGCCCGGCTTGTTGTGGAGCGCTCCACCATCATGGCACACCTCTTTTCGAAGCTGTCCTGCAGCGCTGCCTCTGACGCCGTGCTGGGTGCCCTGCTGTCTGTGTTCTCCCGCTACGTGCGGCGCATGCGCAAGAGCAAGGAGGGCGAGGAGGTCTACAGCTGGGTAAGGTGGTGCTCAGCCTTGGTCCCCCCCACCCTCTGAGCCACCAGTCCCCATTCCTTGTCCTTTCCCCACAGTCAGAGTCTCAGGACCAGGTTTTCCTGCGCTGGACCAGCGGGGAGACTGCTACCATGCACATCCTTGTGGTCCATGCCATGGTCATCCTGCTGACACTGGGCCCGCCCCGAGGTGAGTGAGGCAGCATGGGTCTGTCCAGGCAGCTCACAGCCTTACCCAGTGGCTATTTGTCCAAGGTTTTCTGCTTCTGGTCAGAATTCATGGGGAGTGGGAAGAACTGCTGTGCCACCCGTGACTGTGAGCAAATCCCCTTCACCACTTTGCCACAATATTTTTTGTAAATTGGAGATGTTGCTGCCATTCCCACTTGTGTTAGAGCATGCTGTGGAAGCAGGCGGGGTCCTCAGGCAGTACTTGGAAACTCTGAGCCCCTGAGAATGAGTGCCTGTGCTGAGTGTTGTTGTCAAGAGTTTCCACTCCCCCACCCTGGACATAGGCCTTGTCCCTAGGGGCTAGGAGGCTGAGCCAGTGAAACCGGGTTTCTCTACATAAAGGTGCAAGCATTGGTTTGCCCAAATGAGCCCGGGTCCTCATGAGCCCATGTTTGTGGCCTGAGGACTTGCTGGCCGTGGGCAGAGCCTGTGACTAGAGCCCATGTCTAACACCTCTGGCTGGCTGCCGCAACTGCACCATTACATACCTAATGATGCCTGAAGGGCACAGGACCCCCTTGCATGTGTGTAGTGATGGGCTCTGCCAGAATGGTGACCCACTGGGAGGGGGGCGAGGTAATTACCCTAGGTGTATGGCCACTGTGTCACCTTAGGAAAGGCTAGCCTGTATAGTTCCCATGGGCTCTGTGGAGGCTGAGGTCAGATGGCACTGGCTCAGCCAAGCAGCTTGAGCCCAGAGGGCATGGGTGTGCTGTGAGGACATGGCTGTGGTGGGGCTGTTTCTTGGCATGTGTCTCCTTACCTGTGAGTGGGATAAAGCCAGGATGCTGGCCCTGCAGCAGGCAGGAGGGTTGAGTCAGCTAATTCACACCAGTGTCTGGCACTGTGCTCATCTGCTCTGTTCCCCCAGAGCCTCAGTTTCCCCATAAGGAAAACTACCCTGGGTGGTCGGGCGTTCGTCCAGCCTTGGCCTTTGGTCCTTCTTGAGGGCAGGGCTCTTTGGTTGAGGAGGCTGCTTACCCGTGTCTTTCCTGAAGCTGGTGATGGCGAATTCTACGAGCTGTTGGACATCTGGTTTCCAGAGAAGAAGCCACTGCCCACTGCCTTCCTGGTGGACACATCAGAGGAGGCACTGCTGCTGCCTGACTGGCTCAAGCTGCGGATGATCCGCTCAGAAGTCCCTCGGCTGGTGGACGCTGGTATGGGCGCAGGCTGGGCTTGGAGAGGGAAGGCCTAGCAAATTAGGGTCCAGCCTCGCACCTGCTGCCTGTGAGCCTGGCATACTCCAGGGGCCTCTCAGATTTCAGAAGGGCTCCCATGAGTCCTTGTGGCCAGCAGGTGCTTACTGAGCTCTGGCGCAGCTCTGGGCTGCCCCTGCCCACAAGGTCAGAAATCAGTCCTGAGAAAGAAATGAAACCAAGCAGTTGGGGATTGGGAGGGGAGAAGGGAAGGTGGTGCAGGGTTTGTGTGCATCAGGCAAACTGCAGGGGAGAGTGGAGGGCCCTAACAGGGACTGACGAGGGTCTGGCCAACACAGGTCTATTGACTGGGACCTGGGCAGGGCAAAGGGACTTTGGTGAATTCGCTCAGGAAGCCCATTGAAAGACACATGCTGAGGAGCCTTGGACTCCTGTCAGCTTGGGGAATATTGGTGACTGCATCACCGTGGCATGAAGATTGAGCCAGTGGCCTGCCTGCAGTTGTGGGGGGCACCCGGCTCTGATGCTGCGAGCCTTTCCCGCATCTGCCAGTCACACCTCCAAGCTGCCTTCCAGGGTGGGGGGCCTGGGTTCGGGAGGACTCCACGCTTACAGAGGGGGTGCTGAGTGAGCATCCCACAGCCCTGCAGGACCTGGAGCCCCAACAGCTGCTGCTCTTCGTTCAGTCCTTTGGCATCCCCGTGTCCAGCATGAGCAAACTGCTCCAGTATCTGGACCAGGCAGTGGCCCATGACCCCCAGACCCTGGAGCAGAACATCATGGACAAGAGTAAGCATCAGGATCCTGTTGGTCAGCAGATCCTCATTGAGTTCCCTGGGGCTGTGGGCAACTAAGGGACTGGGGAGCTGCGGGAGGTGGGATGTGGACAGCAGGTGCTAGATCAGGAGCCCAGTGAGGCTGGAGTGGCAGGAGAGCTCTGGCCTCAGCACCAGGTACCGCTTGGAAATTGTTCTGAGGCTAGAGAGCTGCCGGGGACACTGACTGACCTTTTGGTGGGAAATCTCATAGCTCACTTTTGCAGTCCTCAGGCTGCTTGCTGGACCCTGCTGGGCCTTCACATGAGAACTCCAGCCAGAGTCCTGTGGAAAGGGCAGTGTTTGCTCCTGTCCATGCCTGGATTTTACCCATTTCTGTTCTGCAGATTACATGGCTCACTTGGTGGAAGTGCAGCACGAGAGAGGCGCCTCGGGAGGGCAGACCTTCCATTCCCTGCTCACGGCTTCCCTCCCTCCCAGGCGAGGTACTGGTCCCTCCTGGCCACAGACTCCCACACTGCTTCCTTGGTCAGCACTGGCTTCTGGCCAGCATAGGGCCCCTGTTTTGGATCTTTGTGGGACCTGGGTGCCAGCTCTTCTTTCTGGTGATGTTCTCTGGGTGGGACTGGCCTTGGTGTGCAGGGATCCCTGGCTACAGCTGGTCATAAAGTTTTCAGCCGTGATGTTCCCTTCCCTGTAGACAGCACAGAGACACCAAAGCCAAAGAGCAGCCCTGAGCACCCTCCAGGCCAGGGCTGCACTCGTGCTGGGATGCAGGTCCGGGCACTTGGCCCTGAGGACGACTTGGCTGGCATGTTCCTACAGGTACTGGCCCCACTGTGCGAGGGTCCCTCACCACCTCACTCAGTGATGTGTGTGTGTGCCCACCCAACACGTGCTTCTCACATGCACGTGCCCTCTACTTTCACTCTCAGGTAGATTTCTGGGGCTCAGATGTGCAGGAGGAGAGGGAAGAGGAGCCCTGTTCTCACTCTGCTTCTGCCATCCTTGCAGCTTCCCCCCTGCCTAGCACTCTGGTTTCTTCTTGAAGCCAGGTTTGCAGGACTCACCTGAGGTCTCACTGCTGGTTCTGTGTCCCAGTGTGGTTCCCACCTGTCTACTCCTCCCTTTTTTTGGGAGGAAGGTGCTCTGGGGGTGGGACACAGGGGCTTGTGCATGCTAGGCAAGCACTCTGAGCCACACCCCAGCCCTGAAGAGCCTTGGGCACTTGGCAGGCTCTGGATACCATTGTCCTCCAAGGGAAGCTCCTGGGGATGTCGAGTTCCTCTCCACAGGCCTGAAGAGCTTGGGCCCCTCACTGCGCACAGATAGAGCCACACATAAACAGGGATCCAACTAAGGGCATGGCTCTGACACGGGAGCCTGTGAGAGTCCTCAGTCCCACCTGCTCCTCCTCCTGACTCCCACCCCTGCTATTCCAGATCTTCCCACTGAGCCCAGACCCCCGGTGGCAGAGCTCTAGCCCCCGCCCTCTTGCCCTGGCGCTGCAGCAGGCTCTGGGTCAGGAGCTGGCCCGAGTCCGCCAGGGGGACCCTGAGGTGCCAGGCATCACAGTGCGCCTCCTGCAGGCCATGGCTACCTTGCTAGGCTCCCCGCACGGTGGGGCCCTGGCCATGGCCATGCACCGCAGCCACTTCATGTCCTGTCCGCTGATGCGCCAGCTCTACCAGTATCAGGTACCCGGGTGTGGATGCTTCTGGCAATGGAGTGAGGGGAGGGATGACTCAAGTGTCGCAGGACAAATAGATAGAAGCTCCAGGCCCCACTCAGGTCTGCTAGAGGCCCAATGCCCTCCCAGCACATCTGGAGGCTGCCTGTGTGGGCTTTGTTCCTGGTTCCTGTGTGCACAAAGCAGGCGCTCCAAGGCATGAGGCAGAGGCCCCTCTCCTTACTGAAGATGAGGGAACAGTGATGGCCCCCTGTGCACACTTCCAGTCCCAGTCCCCCCGGGCCCAGTGGTCTCGCTGGCCTGCCTCTGTGCGCACGTTTATGTCTGAATGTTTACTTCCATTCCTTTCCCCTGAATCCCACGAAAACAAGTTGCCAGCAGAAGTAAGGCCCCACGAGGTCATCCTGGCACGTGACAAGATGCGCTATTCTGAGTGGCAAATGTGTTGATGTTGAGCCAGCTGCAAGGGACCAACTCCTGTGGGCCCCACCCTGGCCCCAGCTTCATGGCCCTTTTTCTGGGCTTTGGGTTCCTTTGGGTTCCTGGCCCTGTGCAGGATCACTGTTGTCCCTGGGCCAGTGTAACCCACAAGTTGCCTTTTGTTCCCCCAGCGCTGTGTGCCCCAGGACACTGGCTTCTCCTCCCTCTTCCTCAAAGTGCTGATGCAGATCCTGCAGTGGCTGGACAGCCCTGCTGTGGAGGAAGGGCCMCTCCAGGCTCAGCTCAAACTGTTCGCCACCCAGTACTCAGCAAGACGCAGGATCAGCGATGGTAAGAGTGGGAGGGAGTGGCAGGCGCCCAAGATCCCTGGCGGTGGCTTGGTGTGAACACATGTGGCCAGGCTATTGGGGAGCAATGTGGGTTCCCTGAGGGAAGATTGAGCCTGCACGGCTTGGGGGCCTCCTGGATGGGATCCTGGGAGGAGCCAGGACAGAAGTCAAACATCCCCAGTATTCACATGGGCTCTCCTATAGTGCGAAGCGGGCTCCTGCATCTGGCTGAGGCCCTGAGCTTCCGTCGTGACTTAGAGGTGATCAACTCCACTGTGCGGGCTGTCATTGCCACCCTGAAATCTGGGGAGAAGTGCAGTGTGGAGCCAGAGCTCATCAGCAAAGGTACATGCTCACCCAAGCCTCCAGCTGCCAGCCACGGGCAGACCCTGTCTGGACGGCTCCCCTTGCTGCAGGTGGAGACCAGTAGTGATCACTTGGTGTCATCCCTGGAAGGTGTCCATAGAAGTCCTCTTCCAGTGCCCAAGTGGGGCCTCTGGAGAATGACAACATGGCATAGTGTCCCCAGGAACCCCTGCCCCCCCAGGCCTACTTGTGCTTTGCCATGGGCACGTCCTGCATGTGCTCACTCACACCCCGCCTGGGCTTGCCACTTAGTGGTCTGCCTGCCAGAGTGAGACAGGACATTGCTGTCCCTCATGCAGTCCTTCAGGGTCTCATCGAGGTAAGATCCCCCTATCTGGAGGAGCTGTTGACAGCACTCTTCTCAGCTACCATGGGTGCCACTGGTCCGAGTCCAGCCTCCAAGGCCATCGTGGTGGTGAGCTCCTTGCTGCAGGAGGAGGAGCCCCCTGTTTCTGGGAAGCAGGACACAGATGACAGGTGAGCCAGGAACCATGGCCAGTGGGTGAGGAAGCCCTGGTGGTCCTTTTCTGAGTCTCTTCCTTCCTGTAGCCTGGAGACTGTGTGCCTGGGACCCTCATCAGGGCTGCTGGTAGACTGGCTGGAGATGCTGGACCCTGAGGTGGTCAGCAGCTGCCCCGACCTACAGCGGAAATTGCTCTTTTCACGGAAGAAGGTGACAGGGCAGTCCAAGGGCAGAGGGTACTCTGGACTCCCTGATTGCATGGGGGAAAGATTCTGGTCTGGAACAGTGAGGTGGCCACCAGCAGCCCCTCCACTCCAAGAACTTGCATCCACTTAGCCCCAGAGGAGGGATGTGGTCGGTCTAGTCCTGACCCTCTAGTCCCACACCAGGTCACGTGTCCCCTCAAGGCCAACACTGGTGACCAGATCTGGTTCCAAGGACAGATGGGAGGGGCTTGTCAGACTTTGTGGACCAATGGGCCCAGGTCTTTCCAGGGGAGCACAGAGAATCTGTGGTCAGCAGAAGGGGAGCAGCGTGGGACTCCTTGGTGTAACTGGAGCCCGGCACAGCCCAGGGAGACCAGGGCCCTCTGTGAGGGGTGACGGAGCCTGAGTGCTCTCCTGTGCGGAGAAGTAAGGAAATGGTGCAACTCATCTATTTGTGGGCAATGACCACTGGAGTCGGCCACCTGAAGTGCTGTGGCCAGTGGTCTTTTTGGCAGGAATAGCCAATGCTGTTGGGTCGCTTGGCCTGTCTCCTTACCAGGCCTGTGCAGTGGACAGAGTCCCACACCTACAGGGTCTGCTGAGCTCCCTGGGCTGGTGCTCAGGGCTGCTTCCTGGGAATGCTTCAGGTCTTATTGGAAATGTCCTTGTGCCTGTTCCTGGGTGGCTTCTTAGGACTTTCTCAGCTGATCTGACCCAACAGCTGGTCTCAGCTCAGTTGGGACCATCTCATTCTTCTTCCCTAGGGCAAGGGTCCTGCAGGTCCCCAGGTGCCGTCCTTCCGCCCCTACCTCCTGGCCCTCTTCACACACCAGTCCAGCTGGTCCACGCTGCACCAGTGCATCCGCGTCCTGTTGGGTAAAAGCCGGGAACAGAGGTGAGGCCCTTCTGCATCTTGACCTTGTACCCCCTGGGCGGCCCCTTGGCCCTTCCACGGGCACCATGTGATGGCTGTGGGGCTTGTGCTGATATCCCTGTGCTGAGAGCTGTCAGCTCAGCTACACCAGGTACAGCACTCTGCTGCTGCCTCAGGTGGATCCAGGCTCTGCACTGAGGGCCCCAGGGGTGTCTAGCCATCACCCCACACCCAGTGCTGGAATTCCTGCTCCTTGCCTGGGCAGCACCTCTGTAGTTGCCCTTGCTCCACGGGGCACGAACGTGCTGTCATGGCTACCTTGCCCTTACCAAGGATGCAGGCAGGCTAGTCTCCTCAAGTGTTGTCCTTGGACCATGTTCTTCATCTGTGAAAAATCCAAGTTACTTGTCCAGGCTGGGCTGCCAAAGTGGGGTATGAAAAGTCTGTGAGGTGTAGCACCCCACAGTGCCAGAGCCCAGCCTGCCTGGTGGTCCCTTGGCAAAGCTGTGGGGTAGGCTGGGGGAGCTCACGTTCCCTCTGTGGGATGTGCTCTTGGATGCCTGGCTCAAGGCCATGGGAGGGAGAGGTTGGGATGCCATCTCCTCTGACCAACTGGCCCCTGACCAACAGTCTCTTCAGAAGGGCCATGGGGGTTCTACTTGGAAGCTCTTACCCTATGTTCCCTGGTTGGTTTCAGAATTTTCTCATGCTCAGCTGGATTTCGGTTTCCTCTCAGGTTTGACCCCTCTGCCTCCCTGGATTTCCTCTGGGCCTGCATCCATGTTCCAAGGATTTGGCAGGGAAGGGACCAGCGCACCCCACAGGTAGGCCATAGGGGGCAGCCAGCCTGTGGGGTAGGGTGGGATGGTGTATCCTGGGGCTGACTGGCTTGCACTTGGTTGTAGAAGCGGCGGGAAGAGCTGGCACTCCGTGTCCAGGCTCCAGAACTCATAAGCCTGGTGGAGCTGATTCTGGCTGAGGCGGAGACCAGAAGCCAGGATGGGGATGCCACTGCCTGGACTCTTATCCAGGCCAGACTGCCCCTGCTGCTCAGCTGCTGCCGTGGTGATGACGAAAGCATCAGAAAAGTGACAGAGTACCTAACAAGCTGCATCCAGCAGTGGGGGGACAGGTGCCTGAAGCCCTGTGTGCCCTGGGGGTGTGATGGAGCGAGTCCAGGCCCAGGCCCAGGCCCAGGCTTAGCCCTCACACGCCCCAGCAAACCCTGCCTGATCTCTTCCAGTTTGCTGGGCAAGCGCTGCCAAGACCTGCTCCTGCAGCTCTACCTGCAGCGGCCAGAGCTCCGGGTACCGGTTCCTGAGGTCCTGCTGCAGAGTGAAGGGGCCACTGGCAGCAGCATCTGCAAGGTGAGCTGGTGCTTCCTGCTCCCTGCCTTTCCTGAGCAGCCCTGACCAGAAAGGGAGGACAGAGGCTGTCAGTCTAGCAGGCTGGCTTTCCCAAGAAGTCTGGTCCCCATGAGGAATTCTGTGACTGACTTCGAAGTAGAATCCCAAGTTAGGGAGTGGTATGTGGTGTGTGGGCACCCTGAACCCCATCTTGCTGAGGGCAGAGCCCTCTCTGCTGTCTTTCTGGTCTCACCTCTCCTTTGGACGGTGGCATGGGAGAGCCATCTGCCTGACCTTTTCCTGCCTTGCAGAGGTGTGACTGTCAGGAAGTTGCACGTGTGTGTGGCGTGTGATACCTGCAAAGCAAGATTGGGAGCACCCGTCACCCCACAGTGTCCCTGGAGCCCTCCTCCTGCCCTTCCCCACAGTGCCTCTCCGCCCTGGCGGGATACATTAGCTTGCATCTTCCAGAGTGTTCTGTCAGTAGGGTCATAGCATGTGCTCTTGTTTGGTGTCCTCCAGCATAATTTCAAGGTGGTCTATGTGGGGTGTGCATAAATAGTCTGTTCCTTGCTGCTGCTGAGTGGTGTCTGCTGTAGATAGACCTGTTATCCATTCTTCTGTTGAGGGCCCTTTGGGATGTGTCCCCTTTGAGCCTGTGGGAGCCATCACCAAGAGTCTGTTAGGCTGTGTTCATACCTCCTGAACCTCAGGCCTCCCTTTCTCACCCCCCTTAGCTGGATGGGCTTGTTCACCGCTTCATCACGCTCCTCGCAGATACCAGTGACTCCAGGTCGTCTGAGAGCCGAGTGGCCGATGCCAACATGGCCTGTCGGAAGCTGGCTGTGGCCCACCCCATCCTACTGCTAAGGTATTGCCCAGACTCTTCACCGACAGCCTGAGAGGAAGGTGCCTGGGGTCTGACTGTGTTCTGGAAGGTACCACAGGGCAAAGTGTGGCCCTTTCCTTCCCTACTCCTGAACCAGAGCAGGTCCTTCGGTGGGTGTTACAAACCCTGCCCTCTGAAGCCATGAGTTTAAGAAGGATATGCAGCTGGAAGCTGGCACACAACAGCCCCTGCCCCCGTCTCAGTGTCTGGCACAAGAACCTCTGGCCTGTGGCTGAGGGTTGGGAGGAGCTGGGTAGACCTCAGACAGATAGTTGAAGTGCTCCTCTCAGACTTGCACTGATCCACCTGGTGCAGCCTGGTGCACTGATCCAAGCCACTCCCTGACAGCATCACCTGGACCTTGTCAGGGGTGCAAATACAGCCACCTTCTGGTCAGTGAGCATGGAGTGTGCCTCGCTGGTGGGCGAGCACTAGGAGAGCCAGAAGTCAGGCTGGTTTGCCATCATTGGTGCAGAGTTGGGTCACAAGGGAGTGTGAAGTTGGGATGTTGGATGTCTGGCTGGGGCTCTTGGAGTAAGAACATCTGGTTCCAGGCAGAGAGACCACAGAGGTCCCTTCTGCCCACACTAGACACCTGCCCATGATCGCTGCTCTCCTGCATGGCCGGACGCACCTCAACTTCCAGGAATTCCGGCAGCAGAACCACCTGACCTTCTTCATGCATGTACTGGGCATCCTGGAGCTGCTGCAGCCACGGGTCTTCCAGAGCGAGCACCAGGGGGCGCTGTGGGACTGCCTGCTCTCTTTCATCCGGTTGCTCCTGGTGGGTCCCAGCTGGAGTCTCCCAGCTGGAGTCTCCCTTGGATCCCTGGGCTGCACATTCTGTGGGGACCCTTCCCCACCCAGAAGTGCTCAGATTCCCCCATCCCAGTTATCTCCCTTCTGCTTCCAAGCCAGGCCTGGTCTTTCCTAACCAGGAGCAATGGGAGAGCCCAACCGCTTAGCCTGGCACCAATCCAAGGCCAGGCTACCTGTGCCATAGCTTCTGCCTCCTCTCCTGCCCCAGGAACTAGCTCTTGCCCTGCGAGGCCCCTGCCTTTCCCCAGCTTCTCAAGTCCTGGGAATCCCATGTTCTTCAGAAGCCCAGGTCAAACTTCTCAGACCCTCTGCTGAGCTTGCCATGTGTCATTTATGCTGAGCTCATGAAGGACAAAAGCCAATCTGCCCACCCCAGACCCTTAACACACCTACATGGCAATAGGGTCAGGGAGGGTGGTTGGGGCCGGGACCAGGACTGCAGAGCCCTGAGTGACTGTACCCATCTTCAGAACTACAGGAAGTCCTCCCGCCACCTGGCCCCCTTCATCAGCAAGTTCGTGCAGTTCATCCACAAGTACATAACCTGCAGCGCCCCGGCTGCGGTGTCCTTTCTTCAGAAGCACGCAGAGCCCCTCCAGTGAGCACTTGCAGGGACCCGGGAGGGCCATACCAGGGCAGGTCTGTGGCTCCAGAGCCAAGGGAGGTGGCGACTGAGAACAGATCCTGTCTGGGTGCTGGGGCCGGCACAAAGGCTGGTTCCGGCCATCACCTCTACTCTATAGGGAGCCTTTGGGTCGGCTCCCTAGCAGTGGGCTTCACTCCATGTGTGTGACAGACTCCTTTTGCCTGCCCCTCCCTAGCATCCTGGCTCCTGTGCCACTCAGGTTCCCACCTTCCCCTCTATCAACATGCCTTTTACCTGCCAGGTTTCTGCCAAGGTGAAACCATGTTTTCTTTCTCCAGTGACCTATCCTTTGACAACAGTGATCTGATGATGCTGAAGTCCCTTCTTGCAGGACTCAGCCTTCCCAGCCGGGACGGCAGGGCTGACCGGGGCCTGGATGAGGAGGGAGAGGGTGAGTGTGGACAGCTGGGATCTTGGATGGGCTGCAGGGAGGTCCTGTTGAGGTCCAAGGTGTCCAGTGGGACTTAGTGAGCTGTGGGATCTTGCCTATTTTATACATTTGAAGTGTGGTTAATGCCACAGCTGGTCTGAGCAGCAGCACCCCACTCTTTGGAGAATGTCACCTGGTCTCAGATGTCATTTTCTTGGAAGACTTCCCCAGCCTTGCTGGGCAGGGCTGTCCTCGGTTCTCGATGTTCTTGTCCCGTCTCTAACTGTGGCTTTGCTGGCCAATGGTAGTATATACCAGATGGGTGGCAAATGAGAGCCCTTCCAAGGAGCCCCTGAAGCCAGGCTGGCGATGCTGGTAACAGCCACTCTGCAGGCCCTGTTGTACCAGCTTGTTTTCAGTAGCTCTTAGGCAGTTCTTGGGCACATAAGCACGTTAATTGAGCATATGTGGCATGCAGGCCTCAGACCTTGGGCTGCAGAGGGGACAGCTCTGCTCCTGCAGTACCTCCACGGGAGAGGAGAAAGTGAGCACGCTCTAGTCGGGCCAGGTTATAGGCAGTGTGAAGAAACGGAAGTCCCACCAGGTGCACCTGTAATCCCAGTGACTCAGGAGGCTGAGGCAGGAGGATCACAAGTTTGAGACTAGTCTTAGCAACTTAGTAAGGCCATAATCAGAAGCTCCCGTGGCACAATCAGTGTGCAGTACTTATATGTAAGGTGATAAGCAACTTAGTGAGACCCTATCTCAAAAAGAAAAAAAAAAAGAAGAAGAAGGGTAGGGGATATAGCTTGATGATAAAGTGCCTTTGGGCTTGATCTCCAGTACCAAAAAAAAAGAGAGAGAGAGAGAGAGAAAGTGGATTCTTCTCTCTCTCTCTCTCTCTCTCTCTCTCTCTCTCTCTCTCTCTCTCTCTCTCTCTCCCCCGCGCACGCGCACTGCTCTTTCTTCTCTTTCCTTGTTCTCTTTCTCTTTTTCTCTTCCTTCCTTGTTAATCAGACACTGCTGCAATAAAGATCTCTTGGTTTCTCTGAAAAGAAAAGAAAGAAAATGGATGGCTGGGGCTGGGGCTCAGTGGTAGAGCGCTCACCTAGCACGTGCGGGGCCCTGGATTCAATCATTAGCATCACATTTGAAAAAAAAATTAAATAAAGATATTGTGTCCATCTACAACTAAAAAGCAAATATTAAAAAGAAAAGAAAAAAAAAGGAAAATGGAAAAAAAAAAAAGGAAGTCCTGAATCCCCCAAATCAGCCCCTCAACATCACAGTGCCCCCACACTTATTGAGCACTGCTCAGTGGTCTGGGCAGTGGCTGGTATGCTCTTGGGAAGACACCTCATTTTCACTGCCTCAGTGTCCCCAGCCTGTCCTGATCACTGACTGGGGCCTTTTCCAGATGAGCGCTCGGCTGGCTCCCTGCCTCTGGTCAGCGTCTCCCTCTCCACTCCGCTGACGGCGGCCGAGATGGCCCCATACATGAAGAGGCTTTCCCGGGGCCAGACTGTTGAGGGTGAGTGGGGCTTGCTCCTCCCAAACCAGCTTGGTGTCCTGTGCTCATGAGGGTGCCGCTCTACTCTAGGTTCTGCTGGGGCATGAGTCTCCAGGGAAAGCAGAATGTTGGGGGCTCCTGAGGTGTAGGGGATGTTCCAGGGAGAAAGGCCTGGTGGGTAAGGCTGGCAGGGTGGCTGGAGTCTTAGAAAGGAACCAAGGCTGGGGTAGAAGGGGTTGGTGGTGCTTAGAGCACCCTGGACATAGGTGTTGAGCTGAAGTGAGGTCAGTTCCCACCAGCTGAATGAGGCTGAATGTCCACCAGCTTGGGGGATTGTCCCGTGGAGGACAGCTGTGCAGCATGGCATGGATGCAGATCCCTGGGCCCCATCAGATTTCAGGGTGTGCACTTGGGGAGCTTGGTTCCCAGGGAACCGAGATGCTTGGGGACTTGTCCCCTCCTGCCTGTGGATTGCTTGAAGGAGTGCAGGAGTGGGGAAGGAGTTCCTCCTGGCCCTCACGGGCTCTTCTGCATGCCTGGCCTGGCCCTCTGTGCCCTCTTAGATCTGCTGGAGGCGCTGAGTGACATAGACGATATGTCCCGGAGGAGACCTGAGATCCTGGGCTTTTTCTCGGTGAGTAGGGCCAGGACTGCAGCAGGGCCAGGAAGAGGGGGAGGGGCCTCTGGAGGAACGCCACCCTGAACTCTGCTGCTTGAGCTCCACAGAGCCCTGTGGTCTCGGGGATGGGTCCCTGTCCTGAGCAATTATAGACAGGTGGCCACAGTGGGCCCACCCTCTGCTCCAGGCTGGACCTGCTGACCATGTGTGTCTCTTGCCATCCAGTGTTGGGAGCCTGGGAAGAAGTCCCTGGCTGCTGTGCCACTGTTCCAAGGCTGAGGGCTGAGGGTGGAAGCCCTGGACAAGGGTCTCCCAGGTCATTGTGTCCTTTCCCCACCCTGGCCTTTGTACAGACCAATCTGCAGCGACTGATGAGCTCAGCTGAGGAGTCCTGTCGCAGCCTGGCCTTCAGCCTGGCGCTGCGCTCCATCCAGAACAACCCCAGGTGAGCCCAACGGTTTCAGAATTAAGCTGCTGCCAAGGTCCGTTTGGCCCACCTGGTGGTTGGACTAGGCTTTCAGACGGGTCAGTTTGCCCTGTCTAGCCAGGGCCTGCCCACGGAGCTCCAGGCAGAGTCTAGGCTCCTTGGCACAGTGGAGGTGCCCAGCCAAGTGCATCTCTTGCAGCATTGCAGCTGACTTCCTGCCCACCTTTATGTACTGTCTGGGCAGCCGGGACTTTGAGGTAGTACAGACGGCTCTCAGGAACCTGCCAGAGTACACCCTGCTCTGCCAAGGTGAGTGCCCCCGTCCAGATGCTAGGTCCTTGGGCAAGTCCTCACTTTTCCAGAGCTGCCTGACCATGTCTCTCTTACAGAGCATGCAGCTGTGTTGTTGCACCGGGCCTTTTTGGTGGGCATGTATGGCCAAATGGACACCAGTGCCCAGATCTCCGAGGCCCTGAAGATCTTGCACATGGAGGCTGTGATGTGAACCTGCGGCAGCCTGACCTGTCCATCAGCCTTAGTGCCCTTGGCACCTGAGCAACTGAGGCCAAGCTCAGGAAGCCCACTCCACTGGTGGTCTTATCTGGGAGCTGGCCAAGGCTGGGCAGGGGCTGGAGCAGCACTGTTGGGCTAGCAGCTGACTTTTGGGGACAGTCCACTGAGGCTACACCACTTCCCAGGTCATAGCTCTGCTGCACAGCCACAGGGGACATGGGCCAGCCCAAGGAGAGTCTAGTGTCTGGGCGAGGCACTCCAAGGGCTGGTTGTAAATGAAGCTTTCTGAATTTGTGTGCTGACTGATGTCCTGTGTTGCCCCTGGCCAGCGTGGGCCTGTGCCCTGCCCTTGTTTCTCCACCACTGAGGTGTCAGGCAGTTGAGCAGGGTCCTGGGAGGTGAAGAGCAAGGTTGGGCCCCAGAGCTCTCCCCATGGTCCAGCCTGTTCCGCGGGGATATGTCCACACCAGTCACTGCCTTTGGCCTCCTGTAGTGTGACTGCTGGAGTTTTGTGCTCAGGATCAACCTTTTCAGGTCACAGGGCTGCATAAGGTCTAGGGAGCCGAGCAGTCTCCCCTCTTGCCCCAGAGGGGTGCCCTGAGAGCCTCATCTTGGGTGTGTCTCCAGAAGCTGAGGGCAAGGAGCTGGTGCCAGAGCAGCCACATAGCCAGTGGCCCTGTCCTGTCCTCATCAGTGAGCCTGAGGAGCTGGGGTTCAGCAAGTGTCCACAGGGGGAGGCTGTGGGGCTGGTATGGGGACATGACAGAGTTGTGTTTCAGAGCTGTACCCCTGGCATTTCTCCCACGTGGTCTCCTTGCCTTCGGGGTTAGGATTGAAGCCATCGGCCCTCCACCCTTCAGCAGCCAGAAGCTCATGAGTGCCAGAGGGGTGTGCCCAGTCCAAGGCTCCCCTTGGCACCAGCACTCAGGGCAGGGCAGGCGGCACTCAGGCAGATCCAACCTGGCTGTGTGGTTCCCACTTAGGTTTACTGTCTGAGGCCACCAGGGGGTGCTATGGCTAGAATGCAGCTCAGGCCCTCTCCCAAGCCTGGCTGGCAGAGGCCAGAGGTTCTTGAGGTGTCCTGTCTGGAGACCTTCCCAACCCAGGTGCACAGAGATGTCCCAAGACAGTCACATGGGTTTAGGATCACAGCCCATCCTGTTAGGCCATCAGGCCTAGCCTTCCCTCCCATGTCCACTTCCTGAGGGCCTCTAGCCTGCCTCCATTGCACCTGCCTGCCCACCCCTCCTCTGGAGTCTCCTAAGGCAATGTGGGTCTGAGGTCTGGGGTGCCCAAACATGCTCACCTGAGGTGGGCTGGGGCTCTGGAGGAGGGAGGTTGCTCTGGGAAACCCAGGTTGGCCAGGAAGTAAGGATAAGAACTACCAAGTGGCCAGAGGCTGAGTGGTCCCCACTGCCAGCACTCAGGGTTTCCCTCCTACCAGCCTTGCCCTCTGTGCTGCAGGGTCCCCTACACAGCCAAGTGTGGGAGCTGGTCTCTGGCACCACAGTTGGGGGTGATGGTGACACCCCTCCCACAAGATGGGGGCTCACTTGGCATGGGGCTGGTGTAGAGAGGTCACTTCCTGCTCCAAACTACTTAGTCTTCGCCTCATTCAGAGTCTGCCCAGGTGACACTTGGGGGCCAGGCTGCCCCTGGTGCTGCTGGTGTCCACCCTCCAAGCCCTGCCAGTCCTGCATGCTGCCCTTGGAAGCCATGGGCGTGCTGGGGGGGGGAGCAGGCTCTTCTGGTGTGTGCTTGTTCTTGGCTTTCCTGTCTGGTACCTCTATTCTTGTGAGGCTCTGGCCAGGGTGCCTGGGGCTGGCAYGGCTGCCCTGGATTGGAGTGCCAGCCCCACCCTGTACAGAGGAGACCAGAGAAGGGTGGGGTTTCCTGTGCTGCATGGCARGGAGGCCACCCGTTCCCCTCCCCGGACCACCCATGTCCTGTGCCCTCCTGCCCTGCCAAGGAGGGCCCGAGCCTGGTGGCTGGGCATTGCCTTTGCATCACGTCATTTTGCCCTGGACTTGGATAATGGCCGTGTCCTCTTACCCCCAGGACCAAGCCACCTGGCAGGGTGGGTGGCATGTTTTCATCTTATGGCTGAGAAGAGGTCCCCAGAAGCTTGAGAAGGCAGCGAGGACATGGTGGTGGGGAAGTTGAGGCTGGAGCCCATGGTGGTGGGGAAGTTGAGGYTGGAGCCCACGTCTGTGTCCCTATCACTCTGTCTAAAGCATTTACCCCTCCTGATGCCATGGGCATGCAGGGGGGAAACAGGCTGTAGCGGCAGCAGCAGAGACAGGAAGCTGGGGCCTCCCGCTGGGCAGGCCAGCATCCCACCAAGGCCTGAAGACATCCCAAGGCTGGAGCAGCCCGGCCTCGTCCTGGTCCACCTTGGACCTGGCCTCCCCTGGCTCCTGGCTTACTGCACGTGTTCCATGTGTGACAGAAGGGGAGGGCCGGGGGCCGTGGACACAGGCATTGTGCAGGCCTGACACGAAGCAGGTGCTCGTGAAGCACTCGCTGCTGCTTCAGACCTGGCCAGGCCATGCTGGTGTCTGTCGCACAGGGAGGTGGGGGGTGGGGCCAGGTCACCAACTGATGAAGGGCAGGGCTGCCCCTGGCATTGGGAGAAAGAGCCCAGAGGCCCCAGGACTGGTCCTGCTGGGCTCAGGGCCTGGTGGCTTGTGCTGAGGGGAGGGGCCATCTGTGCCTCATGCTGGGCAGTGATGCGGACACCTCCCAGTCCTAGGGTGTGTGCAGTGTCACACAAACAGTGGGCAGCATGTGAAGTGAGTGCCCCTCAGTGTCCCTGTACTTACCCAGTCTCAGGACAGAAGTATCCAGTCCTGGCTGGGGGGGTGTGGTCCACTCCCATCTGATGGTGTGAACTTGGAGCCCACTGTGTCCCCTTTGCCCAGATTCCAGTCCTGGTGGCCAGGCTGCCTCCCCCAGACCTAAGCTTGGGGCCTTTGCCCCACAGGCCAGAACATGACTCTGGGATGGTCAGTGTGTACCAAGAGTGTCACCAGCAGAGCCTTCTCTCCCTGTTTAGCACCCCAGTCCTGTTGCCACTGAAACCCAAACTCGACCTTCCCTCCCTGGGGGGGGGGGGGTTCCTTCAGAGCCTGGTCACCTGCTGGCATAGCTTGTGTGCTGCCCCAGGAGGTGGAGCAAGGCTGGCTCCAGGGCCTCCTGGGGCTGGTGGGTGAAGGGGCAGCCTTGGCAAGCCACGGGCCACTGCTGAGCCTGGCTCAGAGCAGCTCATGGCACCCATGCACTGGGAGGAGTAGGGGCTGGAGGCTCAGGACCGAGGACTAGTCTCAGTTCCCTTTCTGGAGTCCATTTCCCGCTCATGGATGCGCTGCCTGCACACCAGCCTGACAAGGCAGAGGGGGCAGCTAAGCCAAGACATCCCTGTGAAAGGCCAGGTGCAGGGTGGCAGGCCATGGGCACTCAGGTGAGGAGCACATGTGCTGAGCAAGGACACAGTGTGCCTGCCAGAGGTGCTCCCCGCTCCCAGGGTGCTGATGCTCCCATTTATGGTACCCAGGGCAGACAGGGCACCTGGCACTCACACCAGGTGGACAGCTTTGATAGCCCCTGGAGGATGGCCCAGCATGGCCACAGCAAAGAGGAGGCCTCTTCAGGGTCTGTCTCAGGCGGGGAGGGCTCTGCAGGGCTGGGCAGGACTGGAAGGGAGCTCTGAGCCTGTGTGGGCAAATCCATGGTGGATTCAAACCTGTAAGCAGAAGATCTGGTTGGGGGTGGGGTGGCGGGGGCTTCAAGGGCAAGGTGTGGAGGTGGTAAGAGGGCACCAGCCCTGGATGGTCATGCAGAATGTGGGAAGGCCCAGGGCCGCCAAGGCTGGTGCAGTCCATACCCTCTGCCTGTCCAACTCCTCCCCATGCCACCCTCACTGAACCCCCAGCACAAGCCATGGGGGCCCCCGACAGGACCCCGGTGCATTAGGTGGCCATCTCTTCCAGGATGGCATATTCCAGTGGTGCTGCTGTGGCGAGGTCCCCCTCACATGGGTCAGCAGAGCCCAGGGTCCCCTGCATTCTGAGGAGGCCAGTGGGTGCTGAACTGCGCACAGGCGGGGCCCAAGGGCAGCACTGCAGCCTGCCCCTCCCTGTGGCCTGGCCAGCTCTGGGCTTCCTCAGGTGTGTGGGGGGGGACAGGTGAGGTGTTGCCACCTGACGGCTCACATGGCTCCCTCACAGCCTCAGAGTAGGCCTTTGGGTTTCATTTTCAGTCCTGGGTGGACTTCAAACGCTCCAGGCAGATGGCCCTGAGCTTCACCCATGAGATTTCCCTGGCACATGCCCTAGGAGGCTGGCGTTGGTCCCACATTGCAGATGAGGGCAGGGAGGCCCCCACTTTGGCCCAGGGTCACAGGAGGGGTGGGGAGCAGGTGGGAGGCTGCGGGTCCCAGGTCCCATGCTGCCCCTCCCCTTTCTTCCCATAAGCAGCTCAAAAGTTCTGACCCTAGCAGGAGCTGGCTAGGGGCATGGGGTCATTCTGGGTGTCTGGGGTGGGGTGTGCTGGAGGCCACCAGGGACCTCGGCCCTGCCCTCCTGGGAGGTGATCTGTGAGGAAGCTCTGGGGAGGACGGGCAGGGCAGCCAGAAGCCCTAGTTGTCTTCCCAAGCCCCTCAAGGGTCCAGACCCAAAAGGGCGCCTTCCCAGTGCCAGGGCCAGCTGGGACCACGGAGAGAGGTTGGATGCCACAGGCCTCTGTCTGGGCACTGGAAGTGCCAGCGCTGCCTGGGCAGTCAGGAAAGGCTGCTCAAGGAAGTGGCGTGGACCTTGAGAGGTGAGTAGGGAGCAAATGGTCAGGCTCCAGCTGCTCCAGGTGGGGAGACCAGGGTCCAGAGGGGCAGGAGTCGGGGAGGAGCCACGCACTCCTAAAATGGGCGAGGTTGAGGCCACACACAGGGCAGTCAGGGCAGAACTTCTGGTTGCAGAGCCCAGGCCAGCTGGCCAGCAGCAGCTCTTAGCCCTGGGCTCCTACTGATGCCACGAGTCCTGAGGACACAGGTCCTAGGAGGCTGAGCTGGAGTGGAGGTGCTATGGAGGGGGAGCTAGGTCCCTGGTTGACTTACCGTCTGTGTCCCCGGGGCTCACAGTCCAGATTCCAGCCAAAGCCTRTGGCTGCAGGAGCTGAGGGGCAGCCAGGTTGAAGTCAGAGTGGTGTGGGCAACCCCGAGACAGTCTAGGCCACCAGGGTGCTTGCCAGTTCACCTATGCAGCTGTAAAACGGGCATAAAGATAATACCTGAGCTTTAGCATA